TGGACGCTGCTCACAAAAACGTCAGCGCCGACATCGACTTCGGCGTCGGCGTCAGCGTCAGCGTCGAAGCTGCTGTTGCTGTAGCTGTCGCTGCCGGTGACGACAACAACAACTACAGATATGACCGAATACGAATGCGAAGATGAAGCGAAGCCGTTGTTGGCTGTTTTAAGAACGCATTGCCCCGCCTGAGTGTATGTGTAAATGTGACTTTGTGTGTGAATGTGTGTGTGTGTATGTGCGTTAGATACATGTTCTTTGCACACTCTATGCATTTAAGCCCACTATCAGTTAACGAACATTGCCTTTTGTCTTCTGGTCTTCAGGCAAAAGTCAAAGCCCAAAAACACGCAGGCTTAAGCAATAATAAATACTTAAGTATGTATGTATATGTATGTGTATATTATTTAGTTCTTGCCTGACTTATGACACACACTCTTACACACACATATGGCCAAATCTGCTAGCAGCATTGACAAAAACAAAAGCAACCGCTCGCGAAAATTGCAAAACTTTTTTTTGTTCCTTGTTTGCCTTTCAATGTTGACTACATTTTGTCTAATGATGTGAGCTGCTGGATGATAAATCGGTATAAATGTGCAAAGGTATATATGTATACAGAATAATGATAATGATTGGCCGATGTTAGTGTTTGCTTGATTAATTATTGCCGCTGAAAATTGCGCATACGCTCTGTGGATCGTTTGACTGACTTGTCTGCCATATATGTTAAACGCTTGAAAAGGCGATTTTTTTTTGTCACCGCCCTTGTCCCTTGCCCCTTGCCCCTTGCCACCTGCCCATTGTTGCTTATCATATGCACATAAATTTCTCAAAATAAGACACTTTGTAATGTTAACTACTCTATTGGCCAGACAACAACAGACTTAATATAAATAATATATTAAATATACATATGTGCGTGTGGGTGCTCAGTCATTGTGTCAATTCATTTGCAAATTATTTCAGCAATCCAACGCCAATAATTCAATATACGAATCAAGTCATAAGGCACGAATTGTCGCGCACCCACGTCCTGAAATGCTGACTTATAAATTCAATAATAAAATAAACAAAACACAAATACAAATACTCGTAAATGTTCATATTGGAATAAGCCAAAGCCTCGCGATATATGGCTGACAAATAAAAGCCAAATTAATGAATGCTAAGCAAATTACTCATCGAATCTGCGCAGACGCAACGGCGAACCGGCAAACAAATTGAAAATCTCTCTTCATTACGTGATTCGAAAAGTAAGTCTCGAATCTTCATTCTGTTTGATCGCTACATGCATCTATCTATCTATCGCTATAGTTACAGACCACTTGCTATTTTTGGCCATTGTCTAGCGGGTGTTTGTATGTATGTCTGTGCTAATTCAGCTTCAACTTGTTGATTTATTTGTTTTTGTTTTGCCATTTTCTTTATTGTAGTCATTGTTGTTGTTGTTGTTTGGCAGTCGGCGTTGGCTGGCTGGCTGGCTGGCTGGCTGGCTGGCTGGTTAGCTAGCAGGCTGACTGGCTCGACGATCGGCCCACACGTCTCCAAATCGAATCATGGCCAAATGTATATGGAAAACGAGCCACAAACACAGTCAGGCTAGTCAGGCAATCAACCAGTTAGACGAAGCAGCTGAGACGACTGGAGCTGCCAGCCAACGCTTTAAAAGTTGTTTATTTATACCCTATCTAGCTGATGTACTTGCATTACTTAAAAAGAAAGAGACGTTGCGAAAGCAAATCTAAATTCTAATTTGTTGATGAGCCAAACAACTTGCATCTAACACCTTTATAGTGAAATCGGGCGCTTCCTTAAAAAGAAATCACCCTTCATTCAAAAAAAAAAAAAACACCCTCCCATATCTAAGCTAGATCTCACAAACATGTTTTGATGATTAAGGGCACAATTTAAATGTAATAAAATATATACATATATATATTTGTTATAGCCTGTACCCAAAGGGTGAAAGGCTATACTAGTTTTGTGCGAATGTATGTAACACACAGAAGGAGGCGTGGCAGACCCCACAAAGTATATATATTCTTGATCAGGGTGACAAACCGAGTCGATATAGCCATGTCCGTCCGTCCGTCTGTCCGTCAGTCCGTCTGTATGAGCGCAAGGATCTCAGAAGGTACAAGAGCTAGAATAACCAAACTCGGTATCCAGATTCCCATAAGCCCTAGGCAGGTCAAGTTTATTTTTGTATTCTGATACACCCCCCCCACTCCCCCGCAATTCGTGTTTTTTTTTTCATAGCTCCCGTAGTTCTTGGAATTTCGGACTAAAATTAGGTAGCTACATCCCGTTAGTGATTATGTGTCTGCATGCCAAGTTTCATCATGATAGGTCAATTCTGATGAAAATTATAGCCACAAATAAAATCGCTGCCCATGCTCTGCTTGTACCGCTGCCGGCAGTGCTGCCCGCAGCTGTTGTTGTTGCTGCTGCTTGGGTTCAACTTTGTGCTGCATACATACACGCATATAAACACGCAGAGACACGATTCTGATGTAAATGTATGCTGTTGAAACTGTACATGAACATGTCTTTAATTTAATTAAATAATTAAATTAATATACTTTTTTTTAATTATTAAAAATTTTTTTTTTCATTTTTTCCTTTTTTTGTGTTTTTAAGTTTTTAAGTTTTTAACTACCAACATAATATGTATACATAGTAATATAATATATTCATAACATTAAAGCTTTTAGTTGAAATATTTAAAGTAAATATGTATATTGCGTTTCTAAAGAGCAAATACAAAATATCTCAAAAGAACTTTATCGGAAATCTCCCGAAAATATATGTCTGTTCTCTAATTACTGTTTCGCTAACATTATTGTATTGAAGAGATGATTTATTTATGCAGATATCTTCCACTTTACATAATAATATAAATAAAATATATTCATAGGTCTGCTCCTTAAGATCTGCTCCTTAATTACTGTTTCGTTAACATTATTCTATTGAGGAGATGATTTATTTAGATCGGCTATTTTAATGCAGATAACTTTCACATTACATAATAATATAAATAATTAAGAGGTCCCAGAAGTGAAGACAAAAGATCGATTGATAAAAGGAAACTATTTCGCAGCTTATCAATCAATATGTACTCGTATTTATGTCCGTAAGTATAACTCACCCGACCAACTGTAAATACAATTTCTGCAAGGGTATGTCATCTTCGGTGTGGGGAAAACAACGCTCTTTCTTGTTTTGCGTCTGGGTTGACCAGCTTGTGACGTCATCGCAAAGCAAGGAGCTAAGAACGAGAACTTGATTTTGTGGCAGGCAGGCCGGCAGGCAGGCAGGCAAACAGGCAGACAGGCGCATCGAAGCGAGCAGCGCTGCACGGTCGCTGCCAGCGTCATTCGATCGCGCCGAGTTTGTAATTTTCACGCTTAAATCTTAAACCGAGCTGCGCGGTTGCTGCGCAGCCGCCGCGACTTTATCGCCACCTCTCGAATTGATTCATTTGACCGAGGCGATGAGTCATGGGCAGCAGCAGCAGCGGCAACGGCGGCGGCGACGGCGGCATTATCAGTCCAAGTGGCCACTTGCCGCCACCGTTGGCAGTCGCGCATGCGCCGCGGCCGGCAAGTAGACGGAACAGACCCGTCTGCTCGGAATGCGTGGGATGGATCTCGACGTCGCCATCGTCTTCGTCGTCATCTCTGCTATTTTTGTGCAATTTTTTGGATTCTGTTTCAAATCGGTTTTTGGCTTACTGGCTTATTTATGTAATTATATGCACATGTTTTTTTTAGATCTGAATATATTCCATTTGGCTTAGCCAGCGGCTTAATAATCGCTTTTCCTTTAATTTTGAACTTAACGACTTTTTAACGATAATTGCCAATACTATATTTATGTATGTGCATATGTTCGTGTGTTTCTAAGCCCAGTCAGCCAAGCCAGTCGAGTCAGTCAGCCATAAAGCAACCCACGCCATGCTGATGCTGATGCTGATGACGAGCCAACCCAATAAATGACCCGATTTGGTTGCATTGGCTGGTGGGCTGCTTTGGGCATACCCGGCCATTGGTGGAGCACGCTGTTCTCGCGAAGCGTAAGCTCGTAAGTGTTCGAATTTGAATCTGAGCTGTGCTTTAAAGGCAATGAACTTGCCACAAATATGACAGCAGTCAGTCTGTCACACACGATGCCCAACTAAATGGGGCATAGCGACTTACTTCCACAGAAAAGGGCGGCACAGGTACAGGCACAGCCACACGAAGGTGCTGGAAGGTAGCGCAAAATTTGTTCCACTAAACACCTACACCCTAATGACGAAACCCGACACTTATATTATGCAACTGTCATGATGACGAGATGTGAAATGTTGATTTATTTCAATCTGTAAACATACTTGGGGTAGTCCCGCCCAGTGTATGGTTAATGGGTGAACTAATTAAAAGGTTAAGCAACATTTCAATACAATAGGAAAGGGCGGCTTAAGGCAGTTAGAACATTGCACCCACAATTATTATGTCTACGAGCTATAACTCCTTTCGATATTTGTGAATTAGTGTTGCAATTCAGAACGTTTTTATTTTCGGGTCCTTTCTTGTTTTTTGTTGTAAAAAGTGATGTTATGACCAAAAGAGATTACAATTTATTTTGTCACTAATTAAGAACTGGCCGGAAATATCCGAAATTAATTATTTTATTCTCCCCATCATGTAATCGTAATAAAAAATAATTATCCAATTAATTTGAGTAAGATTGAAGGTATTCCGAACCAATTGCCTCGCCGAATCCTCAACCAATTCATTCACACTTCACAAAACACTTGAGTACTCTTATTGGAATACTGTTCGAATGTATTTATTCTTCCACTGCTTTCACACTCACACATACCATCCAAATCAACACTGGAGAATAATAATATTAAGTATAGCTTTTCAGCCTTATGGCTTACTCTCAAAAAAGTAGACTGTACATAGGTCCAGAGGATATTGAATGCAGTAGTCAAAGAAAGTTGAACTTACCATTTTTCTGAGCAATTCCTCGTTCTGTATGGAACCCAAATCACATTCCAACTCCATGGCCAATAAGTAACTGCAACTATAATGAAAAACAAAATTAAAATCACGTTTCAAAGTTAAAAGTAAAGGAATAAATTAATTCTGACCTATTTCCATGCGCTACACTTATTAAAAAGACGTATTTTTAGAATTAGAATTTTTAAATTATTTGATTCTAAATTATTTGATTCTAACTTATTTGATTCTAAGCTTTTTGATTCTAATTTATGTGATTCGAATTAGAACACGAGATTAATTAAGAATAGCATTCTTTTAGGAGCGACGTATCGGATTTGCCGTCCCTTACACAAATCAATTAAAAGAAAATCGAAACGAAAATGTCTAATAATAAATGCTCTGTTTTTGGAGATCCAAGTTCTCTCCTGAAATCACTAACTAATTAATATCAATCAGGATTAATCTTCCATATTGATTTTGAAAAATAATTCTTAAAAATAAAACTTGATTTAATACCTAAGATGGTTTATTGTTATACATGTATAATAATACAAAATAAAGTAGATAAATGGTGAACTATGGGCTCTTATGTTCCGAACCTGCTTAAAAGTTTTTGGGAAATAATAAAAATCTTGAAGTTGCATTTATCAGTATACAAAATTTGTATACGATATAAGAAGGCGTCTCGAATTTGCAGAAATATTGTCTCCAATTCAGGCTTCAAAGACCTGAAAAAGCCTGAAAATTCACCCTCAGTTTTTTAAGCCTCAAGCGAATTAAACTTTTGATTCATTATACCAGATACCTATAAGTATTATATAGTATGTCAGATATGTGTTGCGATATTTTTCTCAGAGGACTCGAGCTAACGTTGTATTGTGAACTCATGCCAACAGCAATTGATGATGATGCAATTTTTATAGCAAATGCATTTTTCATTTTGATTTATTTATTGTTTGCGATTTGGCATCTTTTTGTTTCATTTGTTGTTGTTTTTTGTTGTTTGTTGTGATGTGTTTGGTTGGAAGTCGTCTATGCGTTTTTCTAATTTATCATGATTTGTGTTTTATGGATTTTGAGCATTTTTATTGCAATTTTTGCGAGGCAAACTCGAGTCGTTGCGAAGTCGTTGATTCGAGCGACGCGTCGTCGGCAACAAGTTGTGACATTTCCCCCGTAAATGGTTAAAATAAAACATGTGGCAAATAAAAATAAATGACAGCGTCAAGTGTATTGAGATGTGTGTGTGTGTGCGTGTGTGTGTGAGTTGCTTTTGCTGCTTATTGAGCTGCCTATTTGATTAGGTCGCTGCTTTCGGTATTGGTTAGCGTCAACATGAAGCTCAACTGCGAATTGCAATTCAAAATGCCTTGCACGTAAGCTACTAAGTGTATGTTGTTGGCAGTAGGAGGCTGGGCCGGGGGGGGTGGAGGTAGCGTCGACCGGGGACATATACAAGTATTTGTGCATGTTTATGTGCTCGGCCGCAAGCCAAACAAGTTCAAAACCGCAATTGGGCAAATAGGCCTAGTCGAAAAGTCAAAATGTTGGCCTGTCCAACGTAATTATTGAATGCCACTCGCCTGCCTCAGAAAAACAAGCACCCAACCATCATGGCGGCAGCTTTGAACTTGAAAATTGTGCAATGGTTGGTTGGAAAAAAGAGGAAGTGGGGGGCTCGAATAACAAGCAGTGTATATGCGACTATATGTATTTATGAAAAACTAGGAAGATTATGAAAAGTGACGCCTTATATACGTTGTTTCTCTTCTTTGTGTCTTGGCGATCAATTTAAAATCAATTTCCCAAATTTGCATTCCAATATACTTACATATGTATGTATGTAGCTTTGAGTGTCAATAGTGCGCCCTAAAATAAAAATAAGACCACAGAATTGGTGTTTTGAGAAATATTAGTTAAAGTAAACTAATTTCCAACTCCATACATACGAATTACTCAATTAATTAGCTTTTCATACGAGTGTTTTTTATCCTTCAGAATGTTGGTTGAATGGCTTCGCCATCTCTTTAACGCTTTCCATTCACATGCAAATGCAATTATTACCGAAAAGGTAATAGACATACGGAACGAAATCGGTTTTTTTTTTGTCAAAAAAATCAGTCCCAAAACCTCAACATAAAACAGAGCATAACCCCTTTGAACGATTGTTTAACATTCGTAAAAGTAAATCAATAATATCTTCACTTTTTACTTATCCTAAGGACTTTTTTATTAGATTTGGCTCCACTTTGCTGCTTGATTTCAGAATCAAATATACAAAAATTTCCTTTACAAAATACTTAAAATATGTCCAAAATTTACCAAGTTTTATGGGTTGAAGTTTAATTTTTTTTAATAATTAAGTGTGCGGATTGCAGAGGAGCGACGCTATAATTTCACAAAATTGAAATGTTTCTAAAACTGTTTATAATTAAAGCAAGTAACAATCCATATGCTAATACTTGTAAGTATATAGCTTGACAAGCGACTCTAAAAAACAATGCTCATATGAAAAAAGAGCTGCACCTAAGACTATTATCTTTCTTTGAAATACAAAATAGAACAACTTTATTGTGCACAACTAGTTCTTAGTTGAAGACACTTATTCGCGTCACTGTTGTGTAGGTGTAGGACAATGCCCAGCAAGGGGTGCTCGCGCATAAATTTGTCCATTCCACTCCGATCCCAATTAAAAAACGTTTTATTATCAGCTCAAAATCTGTTTTTGGGCAGAGGCACGCGCTCATAAAGCTGTGTCTGCCAAATTGGCACTTTTGCTTCAATTTGCTCCGATTTTATTGGCCCTGTTGTTCGATTTTGTGTGTTACATTTTGATTTATGTGGCTAACGCCCACCACCATCAACATATGGGAGCAGCACACACACACACCCTCACACTCATGCATACTAAAGTACCTGTACACATGTACATACATATGTATGTAGATTAGAGTATATACAAAAAACAAAAAAAAAACTGATCGGCTAGACAAACTTAAACGGTAGATGGCGCCAGCCGGCACTTGTAACAGGAAAACCGCAAAGTTAGCCGCAAAACGGTTAGAATTTTATACGAGTATGCACAAACGAGTATATTATGTGATTTAAATCTCAACATTGTTGCTGTTGCTCACCTGCAGTGCTTTTGCTTTTTTCTGAATTTTGCTTATCAAACGCTGTTGGCAGCCGACGTCTTTGTAACTGGAGACTGTAGTCTGTATAGTCGGTAGACCGGGGAGATTGCAGAGTAGAGGCGGCTCTGGAGAAGCTGTCGCGCAAAAATAACAACGACAACGAAATTTTCTTTTTTTTTTACTCTTCAAATATTTAAACAGTTTAATTTACGGAAAGATCAAATTGCGCGCGTCGTGATAAGTTTTTGCCGTTTTATGCAACAGCCAGTCCAACTAACGGGCGGTTTCCGTGCGGTTTGCCAGCGACTTGGCCGCTGTTTCTGTCGCCAAATGCCAACTGACAATTATTTGATTGATTTGTGGTTACAACTTCAACAGCTTGTTGTTTTTGTTGTATTTGTTGCTGTAGCCGCTATTGTTATTGTGGTTGTTACAGTTACCGCCACACGCGAATTTAAATATTATTAGAAAATTTGCATAGAGTACAAATTTCAAAACGAAAACTAAAGAATTTGTTTGCACTTGGAACACGTAGAACGCGTCACTCGAAAAAAAAAAAACAACGGGCAGTAATGCACGAACAGAAGCTATTTTTTATATGGCTTGGGTAAATATTTGTGTAGTTGTAGTTGCAGTTGCTAAGGCTGGAAGACTGGACAACTGGAAGACAGGGAAGATGCGCACAACCGTTTGGCACGAGCAGAGGCTCTTAACTGATTGTGCAAGCTGCATTGGTTGCTGCATTTAGGCTCGGATCTGCTCGAATCGGATTGGATCGGAGCAGAGAGATAGCAGCGACAGCATTAAAAGCAATAACAACAACAACTACAACGGGCGATTACGTGCCAAATGGGCGAACGAAATGTCCGCCAGGCAAGGTGCGTGAGTGTGTGTGAGTGTGTGGGTCTGAAGGCATGAGTATCTGTACATGTGTGTGTGATCTTGTGTACTCGTGTGTGTGAGGGTGCGTGGTTGTTGCAAGGAATCAACAACGGCAACAACAACAGCTAACACTGGACCCTGAGCAAACACAACAATAACAACAAATCATCACAAATTCTCGCGATGAGATCAGCATTTCCGTGGTCCCCACTATGAGTTGGGAAACGCACTCGTACCACTAATTCAAAGCAGCAGCTTCGGTCCTCAGAATTAGAGCCGTGTCTGGATGTGTGCGTGAATGTTCGTGATTGCGAATGGCATTTAGAACGTGGTAACAAATCACGATGAAACGAATATTCACGGGCTTAAGACAATTTACCAAACAAGCAAAATGTACAAGGTTGAAGACGCTTGTAGGAAAATAATAATAATAATGGTACATATCTCTCTGAATTCAACCAAAACTGTCCTCTATACTTATCTCCGGGGAAATCTCTGACCACTTTGGCTGTGAAAATCGAAAATTTGTGAGATTTCCCTTTCCTTTCCCCCCTTTATTAGTGTAGGACGCATTAATAATTATTTTTGAGGCATTCTAATTTTTAAAAGTTTCAATTATAACTTAATATTAGTAAACTGTATCGACAGCACTATTTGTTGATCTATTAAATAAATAAATAAATACCTTCGCAAATGCAAACAAAGATTAAGTACTTTTTAAACCCTAGACCCAAAAGGTCAAATGTAACAGGCATTTTAAAAGGCACATACTCGTATATGATGACATGATGAATCAATATGGACCTAACCGTCAATCCCTTCGTACAAACACCGAGAGGTTTTTAACCTTAACCTTTTTACCAATCAGTGTAAAAATCGCCCTTAGTTGGATAACTTTTGGGTTTAAAAAGATATGTTGAAAAACTCTGATATATTCTATAGTTTAATCAAAATTCCCACCCATTGCAAAATAAATAATAAATGCTGTATAATAAAAGATAAAATAGTTAGAAAACAATAGGATAAATAGATAGTTTCCTAGCCTCATAAGCTGAAAATTATTCCTCGTATGTCATAGTTTTATTTTAAGAACATCGTAAACAGATTTTTAATGTGTAAAACATGTTAATAATTAAACTGGACAAGAGTTAATTTCAATTAAACGCTTTTGACAAATAACGATAGAAAGTGAGAAAAGAAAAATTAGCAATAAATTTTGGCATAGAGTCTAATTCCAGTTATTATGGTAAGTGTAGTCAAAAATTTTTGTCTCACAGACTTCAACACGACGATGTTTTTCCAAAAAAAAAAATGGGGTGTTTTTGGAATCAAACGAGATTTGATTTATTTGGAAGATACAAAAGTTCTCTCCAAACGGTGTTGACTGATCCACTAAATGGAACATAATAGTGCCGCCAGCTTAAAAATAAAAAGATTTTTCCCTATCGAAACATCTGCTCGCTATCAGGGCTATATTTCCGGGTACTATTTGTACGCAGTTGTACAATATATATACGAGTAATATACTCTAGTATTATATCGATCATATTTCATAGTTTCCGTACCAACATAATAGATATAAGCGCCGATATATTTTAATGCATTTATATATTAAAAAAGTGCACAATTTTGTCGCAGAACTTATTAGAGAATGCTGTTATTGATTTGGGTTTTAATATAGTAATCACAACTCTATTAATTTCAAATGGAATGATAAAGAATTGTTTGGTGGAATCCTATTTAGGCCACATTTGGCAATTACCAAAGGTGTGGAACAACTTTCAATTGCATGCCTTTAAAAAATGCTAACTTTTAGATCAAAACCTCGACAATTTCTCTGGTGGGTTACAATTTGCCTTTCGTTTTAATTTTCCCTGCCATTTGCAAAATGTAGCATTTTTGTCTTTAAAAAAAACTGGCATAGAAAGCAAGATACAAGCAGGTACTATTTTTAGGTTGCATCCGAATTATTTTTAAAAAGGCTTTCAAATTAAACATAGAACTTAATTCTGCATTTTTATTTTTAACAAATACCTTTTGACTTACAAGTTACGACAATTTGTATTTTAATGCAGCTGCTCTCGTCGAGTTATAATCAGAAGCAGACATCCATGATAGTATATAAATAATAATGAATATTGAATATAAATGGAACGGTGAATCCAGTCCACGTTCAGTTTCTGAAAGGTTGGGGGTCATACGCCCAACACCTAGGATTGATGGCTCTGAGGTGACTCCACTGCATTTAAATAGGTATGTTAAAAGTTAATACTTGTAATGATGAGTTAAAAGTCTTAAAGGAGCAGCCTTCGCATGCCTTCTCAGCAATGCCAAGACGCCACTCGAGGCAACTGCTCCAAAATCTAGATGCCGTCGACTCGCTACAGGGTCAGTGGAGTGCGCCTTTTTAGCCAAAGCCGCTAGCTGAATATGTAGAAACAACTGCAGGCTGCTGCAACGAATGTCAGTGATCAGTGTCAACAAAAATAAATATAAATACAAAAAAAAAAATAACATTACAAAACACGAAAAACCTCAATGCATTAAAACGAACAGCAAAAAAGAGAATTCTAGGAAAACATTTCCTTATGCAACTGGTCCAAGGAGAGCGACAACAACACCTAGAAAAGGGCACAAAACTGAAAGTCCTTACAGCAGCTCCACAGCTAGCAACATCTGCACTCCCATCTCCAGTTCCCGTCCACAGAATGTGGATAATTCCAAACTAATGGTCGGCAGCAGCAACAGATGTTGTCCCTTCGATCTGCAAGTGAAAGTGGCAATTGGAATTGCGTCTGCAGCTCTCAATGTCATTGACAGCAGCAACATTTTTCAACAGATTCTTTTTTGCAATCGCTTCTGCATGTGTGTGTGTGTGTGTGTGTGTGTGTGTGTGTGTATGTGTATGTGTGTGTTTGTGTGTATTTTGATATTTTTGGACACTGTCCTTGTGGTGCCATGACGTCAGCGCGGTTGGCAGTTGAAGACGTTGCGTGGCCAGTGGGACGCACCTTAAAAGGATGAAACAACTTTACAGCCACAGCCACACTCACGAGCATCACGCACGAAAAATGCACAAAAATTGATATTAATTTATTTTAAGTGATTCACAGCAGCATCGGCGAATGCAACAACTGCTAAACAGCAAAAAGTTGCAACCTTGAATGCGCTTAATTTGTCGCTGGCAGCAGCAACAACAACAACAATTGCAACAGCAACAACATCAACTTTGAATAAAACTAATAAAACTGCAGTTTATTTGAATTCTATTTGCACAATGACAAAGTTCAATACAAAACTAAACAGACATACAGTTGTATCTCTGAAAAGTAAACCTCCTGTGCGCTAATGCTGCATACACATGTGGACAAAATAATAGATACACCCTTATTAGTTTTCTCTTAGACCCTCAGAATCATCAAGGAGAAAAAATCCAATTCAATGTATGTTTCCTTAAATAGGGTAGTTTCAAGAAACATTGAATTCAATTCAATTTTCTATCCTTGTATTTGTTGACTTTTTTCACATTTAACTAGAACCGAGTTGGAAACTGTCTGGGATGGCAAAGGAGAATATGGAGAAGAGGGGCTATATCATTGGGAGATTGCTAAAACTCTTGAACTATCGTGAATCAATAAGTATAAGAGTTCAGATAAGGACACAAAAGCCAATGCTATTGCCAAATTACAAAACTCCAAGAATTTCAGCAGTTTTGGAAATTTGCAAATACCGGGGGAATGGGTGGGGGGCCATGATATGCCAAATTAGGTGATTGGTAATAAAAGAATTTCTTTCATGTCAATAAATATTTATATGTGAACCAACTTGTCAGCTCGATAGGATCCTACATAACATTTTTTTAAATTCTTTTCAAATTGTAATAACATCGAAACTTTCCAATTTTTAACAGATCAGATTTGAATATGTTATATGATAATGATAAAGCTTATCTCTTATACGACAACAGGAACTTTTCTATCTGATCAATTTCGTACCGAAGAAACAACATTTTTTGGTTTTTAATTTTAATATAAATCTGTAGTAAAAGGGCTTCTATATTCCAATTTTTCGGCACTTGTTGTGAACTGTTTATTCAGCGAATCACTTCAATCGACTCGAATGTGTTGTGTAGATCCACAAGATATGCAATGATTTCGTAGACGGGTCCAATGTAATCAAATAGTACATCATATCAGTAAATAGTCGCAGGTCAGGTAAACGTTTTCTGGGGCTAGTTAGAAATTTAAATATTATGATATTGGCCTTTAAACATTACAGGAATTCCAGCTCCAATTCCAATGATGTAGATTTGTAATAGATTTTGTCGAGCAGCTGTTTCCAGATGCTCCACACAGAATCTACACATCTGTGTCCAAACAAAACACACAGAGAAAACAATCCTTATTATAAATTGGATATTCCTGTAGAAAATAATTTTGCCAACTATTCGATTAATTCAATTTAACAACCAAAGCATAACTCATATATAAGTAACTATTGTGGATTTGTCCACTTTTTAAAATGATTGCTACATAGCCCAGTCGAGAGTTGTGTGTTTCATTGCTCGATATATGTATATATATGTAAATTTTATATGTATGTATAGTTATAGTTAAATGACAGTCAGCTGGACTCAATGTGAGAAACATTAAAAAATATACACAATTTTGTATGCTGACCCACTTTGTTCTTCCCAAAAATATATGGTAATTGTAGAGAAATATGAACATGTAAAATTGATGAAATTTTTATTTGAACTATATAGCTTAGGCGTATATAATATTAATGATTTCTCTAAAAACTAATCAGTGCTAAATACAGCTTAGTTATCTAAAATGCCGGGGGCTGCTTGCGCTGCCTGCCCGCTAGCTGTTTTAAAACTTTAAAATGTCCTGATGATATCAATATGAAAGCAACAAAAAATCATGATGAAATACAATTACATATTATGTAAGTAGTATGTGTGTATATATGTGTGTATTTATGTATGTATGTATGTAGTCATTAATGCATAAAATTGCGTCTGCATAGACAATTAAATTCAAAATGAAATCACAAATCAATTTCTCATGCACATGTATACTTTAAAGTGCTTAAAAACTAATGGAAGTGGCCAAATAAAAAGACTCTACACAATAATAATTGTTAAATAGACTTACGAGGGAAGAAAACGTTCAACAAAAATGTTACAATTTTGGCACAGCTTAAAATACAATACAGTACAATACGGCATACATATGAACTTGTATATATGTATATGTACATATGCGATGTGTGCTTGTGTCTTATGATTACTATCAATATATAATGATGGGAATGGGCAGCATTTGAATACATAAATGTGAATGCATGTATTTCTGCATGAATGTATCGTATATATGATATGAGAAAATGTAATGGAATCCTTAGCCTAACGTACATACGTTAACTAAATACTATTATTATGAATTTGTATGCAATAGGTGTGCTGAGAGTTTCATACAGCTGCCCAAACAGAAACAAAGACATATTGATAATTGGAAATGGAAATGTTCTTACGTAATAGCGAAAGAAACATAACACAAAACTTATGAGAAACCTATGAGCTACCGATGGAAGAACATGTTTAAAAACACACACAAAAATAATAATAATAATAATAGTATATATGTATATATATAAAAAAAATAACTAGGCCAAAAAATTGCAGCGCAACCAATATTGTAAGGTGACGCTGGCGCCTGCTTACGATTGCAGTTAATGGGAGTTTAGGGTTCGAGCAGCTCGAACACTGGCGGACATAAATATGCATATGTATAGAAGATTGCACACACACTGAGATTTAGCAAGTAGGGGATACAATACACATTTATGTATGTTTAAGGAGAGTTTTTACGAAGCAAGCAGGATAGGCGAGAGTTCCGGGGAATAGTTATACATTCAGTCCGTAACGCCCAAATGCACCAACTGCTGCATTGTGCGCTGCAAATAGGTGGGATCGGGAAACATATTGAATTGTGTCTTGTGATCGACGCTATTCCAAATGACCACATCCTCACGTCCAGTGGTAACCGAACGCCCAATCGAGAATAGCAGACGTCTGTCGAACGCGATCTTAAGAAAACGCAGCACCTTTCGACCCAATGGGCAATCGGGCAAGTAACAGACGCGTGGAAACCCGACAGCGAAGAAAGCACGGCCCGGATGAGGATGCTCAGCAGTTTGTAGTCCCGAGGCAATGCTGAAAAATTAGAAAATAATAGAACATAATTTAGAGAAATTATTTAGGAAATGGGCTTTAATTAAAACTTATGTATTTAGACTTAATTAATTAATTCTTAATTAATCCTTAAAAGTTTTTAAGAAGTAGCAAGAATCATTACAATCCACACGCTACACATGTTCTTACAACATCATTGCTATAACTTAGCTCAATATAATATAATAATAGCTTTTGTCTTAACTTACAAATATTTCAACTTTTGAGATCATATTTTCAATCAAAACAAGGATGAATGTGTCGTAAACTACTTTTCATTTTAGTATTTTAATTTATTTACTTTTGTTGATAGTTTAACTTTACCAATGAAATTGGTAGAAGGACCTCTTTTTTAATTCGACTTGTCTCTTTATAGTTTATAATTGTCACAGTAGTTTACAAATGTTGCTGGTCTTCACAACAGCACGTTTTCTGCAAACATTTCTAGATTTATTTGTTGTACTTACTCGTAAACAATTTGTATGGTATTTTGACCCTCGTGGCCGGGCAAACTTTTGCTAATAATGCTCCAGGACATGCTGCCAATTGGTTGATTGCCCACTTTTTCGCCATAGACAATGCCACACACCGGACACTCGATGAAGAGATTCTGCCAGGCGAGAGAGATAGGTAGCGCGAGACAGAGAGGGAGAGAGAAAGACAGCATAAGGTACTGTTTAATTGGACTCTGGCTTCACACTTACCTTGTTCAGATCACTTTGCTGGGCTATAATCATGCCATTGAGACACTGCAAATGCATTAGATGCTGACAACGACTCAACGATATGGCGGGATTTTGGGCTGAATGTACCAACTCTTCCATACACATGGGACAGGGCTGGGCATTTGGCCAAAGAGGCGGCTCTACAACCTTGACAAACCGCGATATCATGTCGCTGGCTGGGTCTACGCCCACAATCGAACCAGCGATTGATTGCTGCTGTTGCTGTTGTTGCTGCTGTTGGTGCTGTTGCTGCTGATGTTGCTGATGTTGATGGTGCGGCAACGGTGGCGGCACGGGCGCCCGTTCGCCAAGGGATGATGGCGGCAACGATGGCACAAAAACCTCATCACTGCCCAACGAACAGTCGAGCAGATCATTCACAGATATGGCAAAATTACGGCTACGCAAGCTCTCCTTGCTCTCGTGGCTGAGGTACGTCGAAACGGTATCGACGCTAGGACGTCGACGATGCGACTTCATGCTGTTCGTGTCGGTGTCGGAGGCGCGTGTGCGTGATCGCGAACGATGTGATCCCAGGCGACTGCTGCGCTGAGATTGCAGCGAGCCTTCCGAGCAGCGACTATGATGGCTATTCATGGAAGAGGTTAACATATTTTTGCCATGCGAGAAGTGCGGCATGTGATGATGCAGCGATGAGTTGGTCGTATGCGTGGACAACGAGGCCGATGAAGATGAGGAGGAGGCGGTAGTCATGGATGTGTGCTTAGTGCTGCTCCCAAATATATTCAGATTATTTAGTATCTGTCGCAGATTCGTTGTTGAGATTTCACTATGCTTTTTGTTCGGCTTTCGCGATGTTGCTTGCTGTTGATGATGATGTTGCTGCTGATGCTGTTGCTGCTGATGAGCGTGATGATGTTGCTGCTGTTGATGGTTGTGGTGTGCATGATGATGACTGTTCAACGATGAACTGCTCGAGGATGAGCCTGCTGTCACAGACGTGGGCAACGGATGTTGCTGGCGATGGTGTAAGGTACTGCTGCTCATAGGCAAAATGCTGCGATGCAGGGAATTGGTTTCCGCACCCAGACCTGCTCCAATTTTGGGCAGTGTGTTGCGTTTCTGACCATAGTCATTGCAGTTGTTATTACTCGCTGTTAACAATTTCAAGAAATTCAAATTAGTCGCTATTGTAAGCATATAGCTGGATCATCACCTACCCTTGAACTGCAATGCCTGTTGTGGCGTCAGCTTAACCAATGGATAGGGAGCCTGCTGCGTGCGGCGTATACTCCGGATGGGTCCACTGGGTTGGCGTATTTGCGTCAGATTGCAAAAGTTAATGGTGTATGGCAAGCCAAGGTTGGTGTTGCACAAATCCAACGTCTGCTCGCCCTGTGGTGAAGAAACGATGGCAAATGGTGTATAAAACTGTGGGTAATGTCACCTTAATTGCCACTTACCCGTGCCCAAGCATCCTCAATAATGCATTGCACATGCATATTGTAGGGCCGCCAATCACTGTTGCTATCCGCACTACCACCGGACCATTCCCATTTGGTGCCCTTGCCCGCTGGCGAGCTGGGCGCATAGAACATGCGCCGCACACCAATCGTAAGCAGACCCGCCTCCGAATCCGTGTCCGATTCCTGGGTCATGGTGCGAACGTTCACATAGTACTGCTCCAGGCTGGGATCAGCATCACTAAGCATAACGCGTGTCAATTTCTTGGCATGCGCCCGTTCTAGATGCTGGGACACGGCTGGTGAATAGGGCAACCACTTGCCCCCACGGGATTCAAACTCCCAAACGCAAACAGCATGAGTGTGATTAACGCCATTGGTAGTGCCTCCGCCTCCAACTCCAGCACCGGCACCAGTACCGTTGTTATTGCAACCGGCAACCGAAACACCAACACTGCCATGGCTTGCCATTGCAGCAGGCTGTGTGCGCACACACTCTCGCACACCCGAATTCCTGCGCTTGCGTTATCAACTCATTTCATTTTTTCCGTGATGGCTTTTCTTGTTGCTTTTTGAACTTGCAACGGAGATTCTGTGGATCACTTTTAGGACGCCGCGCCTATGTAGTAATCAGCGATTTGTTTATTTTCCTATTTAAACATTCCCAACAAGCAATGTACTTACACGCACACACACATGCGTGGTGCGCTAGCAGTGCAACGACGAAAGATGAACACAAAATAAACAAAGAAAATAAAAATGGTGGACTGGCTGGGTATGGGAGTATTTTCTTGGACTGCAATTCGTAGTGCACTTCACCGAATCACACTGAATTAAATAAATAAAACCGCACAAAACACTTTGGCTGTGTGCACTTTGTACATTTATTTATAATTTATTTTATTTTATTAATAATGCAGTAGAGACAAGCCAATTAAAAATATTGGAGATCGCACTTGCGTCGATCAGTGAAATTCGATAATTTGTATCTACACACATGCTCGTCTACGGATCTACCGTAATCGGCGGCAGGTTAAAAAAATTACTGAAGCGCCACCTCTTGTCAGAACACTAAGCGCTGTCAGGATTGCAACTCAGTGCCGCAGCTGTCAAATTTGACAATAAATCTACTTCCGTTCGACCTCTTTATTAGAGATGTAAGTCGGAATGAAAACAATGTCAATGTCGTATACATTGATGCAAACATGCGAAGAAATCGATGAGGTGCCGATATTTGCTCGAAGTTTTCAAACCAACAACTCGTTTCTTCATGAAAATATAGCCCATTAATCAAAGCGTTTTCAAACGATTGATTTATCTAAATCAAAATGAAAACAAATCAAATCAGTTTTATAAATATTTTAAATAATAAGCCCCATAATAAAATCCAGATTTAATATTAAATTATGTTCTAATAAATATTGGATGTAATGAATCTGCCGTCATTGCATATTTGCTTATATACTATACACTACACTACTAAGAAAACCTATTCATACCGGCTATGTAAAATACCAAGAACATTAACATTTGTCTGATGTCTCATATAAACGCCGACGACCATCAACATATCGACTAGCTCCAATATATCGATATTATATTACAAATTATATGAACTATAATCGTTTGCCAAATGTCTAGAGTACGATGTACAACCCTGTTTTTGCCGCTCGTGCTAACTTCGGCTCACCTTCGTGACCGAATTCGGCTAGCCTTCCGTTCCGTCTCTTTCTTTCGTAACGCGCACGTCGCTTTGAGTAGACGTGGCTGCCGCAATTTAATCTGCTAATTTCTTTAGCATCTTTCAATAAAATCGTTTGAAAATGGTTGTTAAGAAGGTAAATACCGCAAATAATCAAACGTAGTGAACATTTATGTGGTTGGTGCCGTGTATCTTTTTTTTTCTGCGCTGTGTAAATGTTTGTTTGTGTTTACAGTGGAATAGCAATTTACATCAATATTACCATACAATATAGTAATGATTATTATTTTTTTGCGTCTGCAATTCAATTAAACACCACAGCCAAGGCCAAAGAAGAAGCCAGTCACCAAGAAGGTTGCTCCGGCACCATTGGCTGTAAAGAAGCCAGTTGTCAAGAAGGTTGTCAACCAGCTCTTCGAGAAGCGTCCTAAGAACTTTGGCATCGGTAAGTACGAGTATATAAAGCTTTTACTAAATTGATAACTATAAAAACACTTCTTTAAACAGGACAAAACATTCAGCCCAAACGCGATTTGTCACGCTTCGTCAGATGGCCTAAATACATTCGCGTGCAGCGCCAGAAGGCCGTGCTGCAGAAGCGCTTGAAGGTGCCCCCACCAATTCACCAGTTCAGCCAGACCCTGGACAAGACCACTGCTGTGAAGCTATTCAAGCTGCTGGAGAAATACCGCCCAGAGTCGCCATTGGCCAAGAAACAGCGCTTGAAGAAAATTGCTGAGGCTAAGGCCAAGGGCAAGGATGTAGAGCCCAAGAAGAAGCCCAGCTACGTGTCTGCCGGCACCAACACCGTCACCAAGTTGGTTGAGCAAAAGAAGGCTCAATTGGTTGTCATCGCTCATGATGTCGATCCTCTCGAGGTGAGTTTACCAGCTCGATATAAATTTCTGTATGCTGTGCCGCGTGACTTGGCAGTTGTCCCGCTCTCTCAAATGATGTTAATTGAATTTCTTCACCTGAACGTGTCCACGACAAGTGTTCACAACATAATGTGGCAAATTGACAGCTGATTGTTTGCAACGGACAACGGTCGGGCACGCAACACGCAAAACCTTACCCCATGTGTCTTTTTTACTAATGAGAGCTTTTATTGCATTTTAGCTGGTTCTCTTCTTGCCTGCCTTGTGCCGCAAGATGGGCGTGCCCTACTGCATTGTGAAGGGCAAGGCTCGCCTTGGGCGTCTGGTACGCCGCAAGACCTGCACTGCCGTGGCTTTGACCACTGTCGAGGCCAACGATAAGGCTAATTTGGGCAAGGTTCTGGAGGCAGTCAAGACGAACTTCAACGAACGCCACGACGAAATCCGTCGTCACTGGGGCGGTGGTATTCTTGGCTCCAAGAGCTTGGCTCGCATTGCCAAACTGGAGCGCGCCAAGGCTCGCGAGTTGGCTCAAAAGCAGGGCTAAGCAGCTTACAGATGTAACTATGCTTAAGGTGGAGAAGTTATACACATGGATGAAATAAGAACGTGAATCCTGTTCACTGACAACAAATAAACAATAAGTGTACAATTTTTTTTTGTTTTTTTTACTATGTGAGTGACAATGTTCATTAATGAATCGGTTTATTGGCACTCAATAAACTTTAAGCTATATATATACATATGTATGTGCGTTGTGCAATATTTGTTTTGGCCAAAGGATGATCCACATGTTCGTGGTTCGTAAACTGCACGTGGGGCCCAACAACTCGCTCATATTCCTCAAGCAGTTGTCAAGTAAAAAGTAGAAAGGGTTAAATTATACCATTGCTGCTGGGTTAAAAAATGTATTGCATTCGCAAATTATTGCAGGATTTCTTCTGCGATACGATGTTCAATTAATTATACGTTTTCCATTAAAGCAATGTGCACCATTCCAATTTTAAAGGTGGGACTATTTATATATATATCCGCACCTGCATTATTAAAAAAAACTACGTTGCTGCTATTCCCATTCCTGCAACCTTCGATTTGTTTAAATTTGCGAATCAGCTGTTCGTCATTTGACCACACAAAACAGTTCAAGCAGTCGGTCGGCAGAAACAATTCAAATGGTTGCGTTGCCACCTATTCATATTGTACCTTATGGCTATTATTTCCAGAAATATATTCAAAAAAGACGCCATCCCGCATGTTTACCAATTCCACACTTTTGGCATTTAAATTTCATTTACATGCGTACAATCTTATGCAAATACATAAAGCAAACAATGAGTGAAGTAGCGTTGCCACCCCTTGCCCTAAAATGAAATGCATTTTCGATCGACCAAAATGTGTTTTTACTTACAAAAATTAAGATACATTTTATGTAAATAATAATTTATGATAGTTTCATAAAAAGGACCCCAATTGATAAAGAGCCTTAAAAATATTTAACTCTGAAGTTTTTAGATAAATGTATTTCCATTCTATCAAGCAGTACCACATTGAAGGGAATTCCCTGGGCTTTGAAAATAAAGTGCAAGATATTTTATTTGTTTGTACACAGTATATTCATATTTTTGACCGCTCCACATTCGGTGCTCGTTGCTTTATACTCTGTATGGCCTCATGCAAAATACTTAACACCATATCGACTTTCTCCACCGTCGCATTCTCACCCATGAGGCCAATGCGAAAAACATGCTCTACCGTGGGTCCCAGGCCGCCACTTATTTCCAAGTTATATCTACAAATACATAGGTTAAATATTAGAAATAGATAAACAGAATTCTGAGAGTTCCACTCACTTCCGCATAGCATACTCGGCAACCTTCCTCCAGTCCACGCCGAAAGGCACCTTTATAGCATTTACTGTAGACAATCGTTCTGATTCGTGTGCCACAAACATTTCCAGGCCCAGTTCCTCAATGCCCAACTGCAGCCGCGTCGAGCATTCCTTATGTCTATGCACTACCGACTTGAGACCCATGGCACAAAAGTTCGCCAAGGCCTCGCGCAATCCGTACAGCAGGGTTGAGGAGATGGTGTGATGGTAAATGCGGGGCATGCCATAGCACCCCCAATACTGACCCACAAGTAGTATATCAAAGTAGTAGACTTTCGGTTTTGTTTTACGTTGTCGGATGTGGGTTAAGGCACGCTTGCTAAACGATATGGGGGTGATGCCGGCCGGTGCACCCAACGCCTTTTGAGAGCCGGTGTATGCCACATCAACCTTCCACTCGTCCATGAAAAACTCAGTGCCACCGAGAGACGCAACTACGTCCACCACCAGAAAACAGTCGTACTGACGACACAGCTCGCCAATCTCTCGAATATGACCTTGGAGTATTCCAGTGGATGAATCTCCTTGGGCCATAAAGAAAACCCTCGGCTTGTGTGTGTGAAAAGCAAACTTTATTTCCTCTAGCGATAGCGAACGTCCGAAGCTGGCCTCAACGTAGCGCACGTCTGCTCCATAACGACGCGCCATGTCGGCGGCACGATGACCCCAAATACCACAGATGCCCGTGAGTACGACGTCGCCGTCTTCGATTAGATTGCTCATAGCGGCCTCCATGCCGCTGTGGCCAGAGCCACTGATGCACATTGTTGCATCGTTCAGTGTCTGAAATATATACTTGATGCCCTCTTTTATCTCGTCCATGATCTGCGGAATAAAAAAAGCAAAAGAAAGGCCGTCACTAAAGTATATGCGAGTACTTTGCACTCTAATATGAATCCATACAACGTTCTTAAGAAGTAAGAATTCGCATTGTTGCGACGCCAATTATAAATAATTTTAAACACAAGCATTATGACGTTTTTTATATTACTTGTTATTTATTTCGTTTATCACATAAATTTTAAAGATCATTTTCAGAAAGAAGAAAGTTATCCCAAGTATGGCTTATTTTTCGTTTTGTAATTGAAGTGGCATTTACATTATATATTGGTCCGATCGAGTCGCTTTTAGGAATACGCATTTAATTTAAAATAAAATCAAGTGAATGCGTATAAATATCGTCATCATTATCTTTAGTTCCTCGTGTTGACGGAATAAGCACAAAGAAGACTTCATAATCAAACGATACCCACAATCCTCACAGACAATAAACTTTTTTCCAAATTTTAAGATGAATCAGTTAGTTACAAATATGAACCACTCCCTCACAAACGCAAAAAAAAATACATCCCTTCGGCTTACAAGAAAGGCGGCTATACGGCCCGCTTACCAGGCACATACCAGTGCCTTAAGGTGTATTTTAAAAATGAGATTGGTCGAGAATGCGTGACAAAGCTGAGTGGGGCTAGACTCAAAGGAAACTGAAAAACTAGGCACTGGAGAAAGCAATTCATCTACAAAATTGGCAGGAATAACGAAAGCTGGTCGCTAATCTTGCAAGCGCAGTAAGGAGCTAGTCGGGGCTATCATAAAGCCAATAAACCACCAAGTGAAACACAAGCACCATCATGCTTACAAGGAGTACAGGAAGTGCAAGGGGAAGAGAACTAACGGTAACAAAACAAAAATCCTCGATGTCGCCGCCAAAGACAAAAAGACTCTTCGCCTTCGTCATCTTCCTCCAGTAGCAACACCGAATCAGATTCCAGTGACAACGAAGAGTCGAGCACTACTGAGTCGAATGCAAATGGACACAAGGATAAACGCCAGGAAAGCAAAGAATGCGCCGTTTCGTGGCAAGAAAATGACAGTCAGGAGCAAGCGCCATCATGCCGGAGGGTTCCGCGCCAGCTGCAGCGACAGCAGCACCTTCTAAGATTTTCAGAAGCATACGCCCCTAATATCCATGCATAGGATAGATGAATTAGAATTGTAAGGTTTATACGGGCAAGAGAATAGTTTAATTGTCGTTATCGGCTTTCCCCAATAGAAAACGAATGTCCACTATATTGTATAAAGGAGTTCAGTTTCAAAACCTATTCCTGCGATTTTGTAAAGTTTCCCTCAATGCACACCGAAATGTCAATTAGTTACGTCCTTAACTATAAACAATTTAAAAGCTATTGGGATTTTAATTAGTTTAAATTCCTATGCTTTACACCAATGTGGATGTTATGTACAGATAAGTATATTTTAAATAGAAACAATGCTCCTGTCTAATTTTCTAATCGATAATTCACAGCCCAGGGATTTCAACGCTTTTTCCCTTTTGTGTACTGTATTTGGATAGACATTTGTTTGAGTAAATACTAGATTTTCACTTGCTTCTATTAATCATGGGTTAGTTCCTAGACTAAACTTTGTTAACGCCGATTAAGTGGTGCTAGTTCTTCGCGCCCATGCTTGCGTAACTAAAAGATAACACTCAGAATGCCTGTTCAGTTTTGAGGCTTCTACAAGTTTTAAAGAGAGGTGAGCTGCGAGAGAGCTACTTGATATCTCACATAAAAGCGGGAGATGTAACGCAATTACTAATATATAAATGAAAATGATTATTTAAAAAATATTAACATGTCACCTTCTAATGTCTGGAGTTCTTAGTTTTATGGAGAGAAAATGAAACGTAATTCGCATTGAAATGGAATTTCTTTTCTCTGCATAAGGCAAAGGCAAATAAGAAATGTGCTTTGGATAGATCGCATTTAGGCTAAACATAAAAGTTTATTTTCTTAAAAATACGTGTGTAATTGTGTGTGTTATCTGATCAGTATCTGATCATTAACGTATTCGTTTTACTTCTTGATCACGTCTGACTTGGACCAGAACATGATTATTGGCAAAGCTGCATTTTTAAACCAACCTGGAGGCACTCGGGATGCAACTGACCCAGAATGGGATTGCTCATGGCCTCTAGTACACGTTGGGAGCAATTTGAGGGTCCTGGGCCCATCAACGTTTTGCTCGGCACATATAGCGGGCGTTTTAGCACTAGAGGAGGTGGAACTTCCATTTTGTGCGATTTTCACTTAAATCACTATGTTTGTTGATTTAATTCGATTTGGTGATTTGTTTTTTACGTATTAAATTTAAATTGTTGTAATTGCTTGCTTATCAATGTTTTAAGCACAAACACTAATGTATACACAGATAGATAGAGGCGCTACTTTTGATGGCTACGTCTGATGCTCTCAAAGATCCAACTGAAACGTTGGCCAGCCAGCGCGCATCTTTATAGCTTGCCGCTTATCACTTGAGCTTCGACAGTGTCGTCCGCAGCTGATGAACGCACTTGAACAAGGAAAGTAGTGAATGCTGCTCGCTTATCAAGATTTTCGACCCCCTGCTCTATGAAATTTCTATGCTGTGTGTGTTAGTATTTATAACAAGACCGCATACAAATTTCAAAGGTTATGCGATCATTGTGAAATTCACATGTATAAGGATGATGCTACGACTCGACCTTGACCGATTCTATCTGAAAACTTTGCTAATGTCCATACATACTCGTACATGCTCGTATGTCCATAGATATTTATAAACGTAATGTTTAATTTCTGTAAACATTACATCTATTGTGGCTAACCAGGTGCTTAATATTAAATCTTGATAAGCCCAAGCAGTAGTGCTGATAATGATGAGCTCTCAATATTTACATGCATAATTTAATATGTATAATATGTATACACGCATACCTTACATATTAGATTGTAAGCGCATGGGGATATGTTTACGTGCCTATATACGCCGCAAACAAAAGCATGATCATAGCAGATAGTGAAAACGAACTAAATAAACAAGCGAAACAAATCTTGAAACAACATACGTACATATGTATATAATATACGGACAAATCGTCGTTTGTTTTCGTTTTTAATTAAAACGTGTATCAATTGAATTTTATTGTTAGTGCTGTAAAGCGACTACTAATTAAGTAACCGCAAATCTCGAATGTTGCCAGAGAGGGAGCATCAATTTTCAATGAGGTGGCAACATACCCAACACGTGCTGTTCAATTCGTAAACAAAATGCATTCTTCTTGAATGGTGTTTTTATTTTGAAGTATCTACCAAAATGTCGCGCATTATAGTTAAACAGCTGCCCAAAAAGGTAAGAAGTCTGAGCAAGCTTAACAAGTGTCAAGAAAATAAAAAATTATATATGTAGATAACCGAGGAAAAACTACGGAACATCTTCGGCACAAAGGGAATCATTACTGACCTGCAGCTCAAATACACACCCGAAGGTAAATTCCGACAATTCTGTTTTGTAGGGTACAGTAGCGAGCAGGAGGCGCAAGCGGCAGTAAAACATTTTGATAACACATGCATACAAACTAGCCGGGTACGTGTGGAACTATGTGCGGCTCTGGGGAGCGAAGAAAAGCCACAATCTTGGAGCAAATATGCTAAGGATAGCAAAAAGAATGTCGAAAAGCTTAAGGCGGTAGAGAAAGAACTAGAAAAGGAGAAAAAGGCGAATAAAAAGACAAAAGAAAAGAAGATCAACAAAGTAGATGAGATATTAGGAAAACACAAAGATGACCCGGAATTTCAGGAGTTTTTGAAGGTGCACGACAAGACACGTGCACTGTGGGCAAACGATGCCGGCATAAATGATGACCCGACTACCGAGCAAGATGATGCTGAAGAAGAGGACGAAGACACGAGCACACCTGGGGTTCGTAATGATAGTGGCGTAGATGCTGGTGACGAGGAGGTCGAAGATGAGGAAAACGAGGAAGAAGAACCAGCCGAGAAGCTAGCAGCGAAACCAATTAGCGACTTGGAGTACATGAAGTCTCTTATAGCTGGCAATGATGCCACTCCAAAGCCAACGAGATCGTCCAGTGCAAAAGGTCAGACAAATACAAAAGCTGCCAAAGGCGATTTGGATCTATTTACCATAAAAATACACAATGTGCCGTACAATACAAAACGCCAAGATGTTCTCAAGTTTTTTAAGCCGCTCAAGCCCTATTCAGTGCGGCTGCCAGCTAAAGTCCATGGCTTCTGTTATGTGGGTTTTAAAACTGAAAAAGATATGGCCAAGGCCATGTTGAAAAACAAGAGTTTCATCAAAGGCAAGCAGGTATTCTTTTCAGACTTTACGGAGCAGAACAAGGTGACAAAGTCCAAGAACAATGGCGAAAGCGTCGAATCCGAAACTTCAATCCAAAGTAGCGGCAATGCCAAGTGGCAGTATCAGCATGATAGTATTCAAAAGGAGGATAATATTTCAGTCTCCGGTAGAATATTCTTTCGCAACCTGCCCTACACTACAACCGAGGATGATTTGCGTAAGCTATTTGAAGGGTATGGACCCGTCGTCGAGGTCAATCTGCCCGTCGACAAATTAACGCGTCAGATTAAGGGGTTTGGTACAGTCACATACATGATGCCTGAGCACGCGTTAAAGGCATTCAACAGTCTGGATGGCACTGATTTTCATGGTCGGCTGCTGCATTTAATGCCCGCAAAGGAGCTGGCTAACGACGACGATGCTAAACGTGATGGCTTGGATGAAAACGATCCCAATCTCACGTTCCAGCAAAAGAAGGCATTAAAGTTGAAAAAGACTGCGCAGCAATCCATTGGTTGGAATACGCTTTTCCTTGGCCCCAATGCCGTGGCCGATCTGTTAGCAAAGCAGTTTAAGACCACCAAGGAGCGTATCCTGGACACCAACGAGGGCGGTTCCAGTGCTGCTGTGCGTTTGGCCCTAGGCGAGACTCAGATAGTTATGGAGATGAAGAAGTTTCTCGAGGAAGAGGGCGTTCGACTAAGTGCCTTCGACGAGCCATCAGTTAAAAGATCCAACACAGTGATATTGGCCAAGAATCTGCCAGCGGATACACAGGTCTCAGAGCTCACACCAATTTTCGCCAAATTTGGTCCCATTGGTCGAATTGTGCTTCCACCCAGTGGCGTCACTGCCCTCATTGAGTATTGCGATCCAGCAGAAGCGCGTCAAGCGTTTAAGAAGCTAGCTTACAGTAAATTTAAAACTGTTCCGCTGTTCCTTGAGTGGGCGCCAGAACAAATATTTACGACAACTCTAAGCGGTGAGCCTGTCATACCCAAGCAGGAAGAGGTGAAGAAGGAAGAAGTGGAGACAAAGAATGGATTTGACGAAACGAAGCAAGGGGATAAAGATCTAGTTGATGAGAAACCACTGCCCGAGGATGCAGACGATGAGCCTGAGCCTAATACAACGCTCTTCCTACGCAACTTAAACTTCAAGACCGTACCGGAGACTATCATTGCACATTTTCAACATCTGGGCACCATACATACCGTTGAAATAGCGAAGCGCAAAGATCCACAAAATCCACGTCAATTCAACTCGTTAGGCTATGGTTTCATTCAATTCAAAAAGGCTCACGTAGCCGAGCATGCTCTCAAAGACTTACAATTAACCAAAATCGATGGCAATCAGGTGGAGCTGAAGCGAAGCGATCGTATCCTCAAGTAAGTTATAAAATTTGGCGTCCACATCGCCGTGGCTCATGTGCTCTTTGCTCTGTTGCAGAACCCAAGATGATGGCACACGCCGACAAGTAAAACAGAAAAAGCAGACAGGTACAAAAATTTTGGTGCGCAATATACCTTTCCAAGCGCAGTACAAGGAAGTGCACGACATATTCAAGTAAGTTCAAGATCCACACTCACTAACCATATTGAAGGTGACTTATCTAAATTGTAATTAAAATTACAGAGCTTTTGGCCTAATGCGCTCGCTGCGCCTGCCAAAGAAGACGGGGCCTGGTCAGGAAGGCCATCGGGGCTTCGGCTTTGTCGACTTCCTTACCAATACCGACGCCAAGCATGCATTCGACGCACTCAGTGCCAGTACTCATTTATACGGTCGTCGGCTGGTGCTCGAGTGGGCATCAGTGGAAGATCAACATGATGTTGAGGAACTGCGGAAGCGTACAGCATCCAAATTCACCGCAACAGTGGCAGCTGGTGAGGCAAAACGTAGCAAGCGCGCCTTCTTCGACATGGAGGGCAACATGAAGTTGCCGGCCGATGGTGATGGCGACGACGCAGAATAGTTTTCTTTTTGTTTTGGATTATTCGATAAGTACATGTATATAACAACAAATAATATATGTATACAATATGCATATTTAAGTTAAGAGTCTTATCCGAAAATAAAGAACTTTTTATACCCTGTACCCGAAGGGTAAAAAGGGTATATTAGGTTTGTGCAAACAAAGTATGTAACAGGGAGAAGGAAGCATCTCCGACCCCATAAAGAAAACATATTCTTAATCAGCACCACGAGAGAAATCATGTCCATCCGTCTGTCTGGATGAACGCCTAGATTTCGGAAACGACTGGGCCCCAATTAACCAAACTTGGTAAATAGACTCTCCTTATCACCTTAGTTCTGCTGGGTGTTGGATAACAGTTCGGAGAATAGTTAATTAATTCGTCAGCATACTACTACTACAGCTTACTTAAAAAACTCCAACAGTTAGGAGCGTGCTTGGCCGCCTTCTTCATTGAGGCAAAGTCTTAACGTACTACGTTTAAATATTACACGAGTTTTAGTTAGTTCTATTCCTTCCTTTATTTATTCATTTTACCCATTCGTACAAGCGTTCCGATAATTTATACATATACTAATAATTTAAAATATATGTATACTTTTCAAATGCGAGTATATACTTACATTTGAGTCATGCCCAATCAAATAGGTTAATCGCTTTTAATAAAAACACACACAAAACGTTTCTAAATAGAATATACTTTATTTTACGTTTCTATACAAAAAAAAAACTGCAAATTTCTTTTCCTTTTGTCTTTAAATATAAAACCTAAACAATAAATGTATAATAAAACGCTTTTACTTTGTGTAAAAAAATAATATGTATATGGAAGTTTTCTTGCGATTGCTTAAAAATTGCAAATCGTATATGTATACATACATACATATGTACATTTGTATATACATACGTATGTATAGAGCAAGCACGTATCGCATGCATGTGCATATGTTTTCGTTTTCATATGTATTTGTATGCATCTATGTATAAGAGCGTTAACCATTAAACATAAAATATAAATATTTAAAAGTTTACACAAGACAAAATAAGACTGGAAAAAATTAATAAAAGTAAGCATTTGTCAAATGGTTAGTTATTTAGCATTACATTTATAATAAGTATACATATATAATATTGAAATCTTTCAATTTTTAGTAAATAGTTGCAGCGGGGCGAGGGGGCGTTTGTGCTAGTGTGTGTTTCTCTGTCTGTGTGTGTGTGTTGTGTGTTTACGTGTGGGCTTTCTACGCAGCTTAAACAGTAAGTACTATAATGTAAATATATAAATAGAGGTAAAGCATATCGTTATGTGTATATATATATATATATGTATATACGAGTATATATGTATGTATCTGTGCCAGGCAATAAACAGCATGCCCAGCATAATAAGCTAAGAAAAGCCAAAAGGAAAAAGTGCGCATTGTGCCAAAGGCCGACTGTCTGTGTGAGTGTGTATGTGTGTTTAACACTTGAGCATGTGTATGTGTGTGTGCTTGGCGTGTTTGGTTTTTGGCCTCATGTACCGCTTTAACGCCCCCCATTGAGCACTTTGTTCCTTTTTAGATAACATTAGGTTTTTTGCACTCGCTTCAAGCTTGGCCCGAATCCTTCAGCTCAAATCCTGTCATCTTGTCATTATGTACATATCGAAGCGTGTGTGTGGGTGTGTGTTTGTGTGTGCTTGCGATTGGGTGTGTTTTTTGTGTCCTGTGGCCAAACTGTTGTCTTCGCATATACATACATTTGAAACAAATGTAAGAATGTGTTTTGTAGATAAAACTAGCAACTCGCTACAAAAATATCTATTCCTTCTTAATGCGCGCCTGCAGAAAACAGTAGAGTATGCCGGCCTGTGCCATTACATCGACTGTGCTGGCGGCCAAGGGATCCTTTTGCTTCACTTGCGTCTGACCAGGCCGCAGCAGTGTCGGTCCAAATACCATGGCCAAATTGTGCAAAGACATTTTGTTGTCCTTCTCCTTTTCGTGCACTCTGAAATATTAAATGGATTTTAATTAATAGGAATTACTTGTTACACAAAAGGGCTTCTGTAGTTTCCCAAATAAAATTAAGTCCCGGATGCTTTATTTATAAAAGGTCTGTCAATTCTATCGGTTAATAAATGCACATTTTTGCCATGAATTCTTTGAAGGTTAAATTAAATCATATCAACGATGAAGCAACGTTTAAGGAAAACCCCAGATTACAGCTGCTTATGAATATCGCACACACCTGATTAAGTGATCCAATATCAAATTTATTGAGGCTTTGTTCGCCTGCGGCAGCTCCTCGAAAACCTTGAGCAGCTCGTTAATGCGCGTCGCTTCGTTGTTATTGCTAAATACACTGAATGTGTCGAAGAAGCGGGGGTAGAGCACATCGGAGAATAACGCCTCGGGTAATTCGCGCAAGAATGTCTTCAGTATACCTGTCACAGAGTGTATGTCCACCTCCCGCAACAGCTGTTCGGCCTCATAGGGATCTGTGTCATATTTTCATTAGTAATTGGTGACTAAATTAGACGGCTGTCTATTGACTCACCCGATTCGAATGATTTCTTGAGTTTTACCAGATCGGAGGCAGGGCCACTAACCCTATAAATGCCAACCTCCTGCATGCCTCGACGCTCCACTTCGCGTATGCAGGCAATAATTATAAATGGAGTATCGCGTTTTTCCCGCCTATCGGAAGGAAATAGGTGTAGTAAGTTATTCAAAATGTGGAATGAAAGCTTCGATTTGCACCTACTTTAATACTTGAATCATTTTGGCACCAAAGAGAGCGCCCGGCTTGGTTGTGGCGCGACACAGCTCGCCAGGCACAAATCTAAATGTCGCGTTTAGCTCCAGCATTTCGCTCAACTTGATAGTGCGCGACTGTGTACTCTCCGTCAGCCAGCTTCGGCTCAACTGTTTTTGTATAGAAGAATCATTTTATAACTCAATAGTATAGTATAGTTGATCATTTACTCACCTTCAGAGTGTATTTGGCACGCAAGAGGGGCCGCTCCTTGGCCTCGTAGAGCAGCACACGCACATTCTGACTGCCCTCCAGTTCAAGCACAAAACTCTCACTCCATACCGGACTGACACTGCGGCAGATCATTTTGGTGGTGGCCTTGCGGAAGTAGTGTCCATATGAGTCTACCTCGAGGCATATATACAGGTCAGCCGGCTGTTCCAGACCAGTGAGGCCCTGCACGCTCATGTGTAGGTCACCAACAAGCAGGCTCTCGTCATTTGTGTTGCGCATCAGATACGAGCCCATTTCAGTCTTCATGCCCTTCTGCATGGCCACAATAAAGGCCGTCACTTCAAGTGAGTTGATCGTATTGGCACCGGGCAGGTTACACTTTTGCTAAATTCGTATAGGAATGGGTGGATTTTTTAAAGGTCTACCAACGATTTACTCAAATACCGCTTAATAGTTACCTTGAGCGACATGATTGAATCAATCCACTCTGTGCGTTCATAGTCGGAGCTTAGGAAGAACGTCATAATCTTGTTGTTCGCCTTGTTCCCGAGACGCAGTACAAGATTGGGCGAGGCCAGCACCAGCTGTGACTCCAAATCGGCCAGCTTGCGCCTGTATTTGTCACCGGTACGCACTCCGTTCCCTTCCAGGATCAGTTGATCGCGTACAGAGCGCAGATTGCGCTTTACTTGCGAAATGTTCGCGGGACTAGATTCCTTGAGATCCGCTCCATTCTCTGACTCCTCAAACACACTCACATCCTTGAGCACTATGAACCATTTCAGCTCATAATCTATGCGTTCGCGTCCCTGAGCCTTGTATTTAGCACACGCGATCACGTCGTTGAAGAGGAAGAGATGACGCAACTTACGATGCCCATCGACCAGCTCCACAATAAACGAGTTCCGTACCATGCGTCGCAAATTACGATTCGATTCAGTGGGCAGCCGTTGATTAACCACATTGAACTGATTGAGGAACATCTGGATGATCTTCTGCGCTTGTCGCAGGGGCTGGTGGTCCGGATGATTGGGCGGCGTTTCGCGTAGTAGATCGTTGAAGACAAGCGCATTGATCTGCACACGAGCAACGGGCTTATGAAGCAGATCCTCTAGCGTCATCGACTGTTCTGTTTGCAGATTGACCACAATGGTCGATACGATCTTCTTGAATTGTGGATTGCTTGCACTGCACTTCTTAACCGTCTCTATGGCCTGGCCATAGTTGTGCAGAAAGGCGCTGTACAGGTCGAACATGTCGGCAAGACGCTTAAAGGGCTCACCAACCAACACATCTCCGCCTTCGTGAGCCACAATTGTCTTCAGGTCAGCCAAAAATCCGGTGTGCACCTCGTATAGTTCCTCTATTTTGAAGAAAATCGTATTCTCCTCATCCTCTTTAATCACAGGCTGTGATGTGCCGTGGGTGGCATGTATTGCTTTCTTATACTGTTTAATTAGTGAAGGAACTAAGTGACTTATCTGGCCAAGCAAATCATGATCCACACTTACCTGAATCATTTTATTCAAACATTCCACAAAGATGGTTTCGCTATGTATGATGGAGTTAAGCATGGAACGAATTTTTGCGCCACGCGCATTGCCCGATACCTGCGCCAGAGATTGGAAAGCGGAAAATAAATCGTTAATGAAATTGGCATTGGGACTCAAAAAACACACACAGATGAGTAACTACAAATGAAATAGCAATAAAGGCCCAGCACCATTTCTAAATTCTAAACAAAGCCTTTAGCAATGCGAGCAATGGAAAGTTCTTTATAGCTCTGTGCCTTGTTTTTAAACATCTAGAGACTATATACAACTTCGAATTAAAGCGTTTGCAGTATACCATGACACATAGGACGAGGACAGAGCAAGATAGAGACAGAGAGACACCAAGATGGAGAGAGAGGCAACATACAAATAATATGATTTGAAAATTTTGAAAACCAAAACGGAACTTAAATAATGGGAGCACCAATTACAAGACAATGAAAAACAGCAAGCATATACCGTATTTGAAGCGCATACCGGAATATTTGCATTTTTGGGATGTATGGGATATATATATATTTGTATAGAAAAAAAAAAAAAACAGAAAAAACCGATGTGCACATTCAAAGGAGCTTGTAATAAATAGGACTGTACACATTTAGTAAATAAGATATGTATACGTTTGTGAAATATATTTGCATATAGTTAACTAGAAATATACGATTATTCTTTGAGCCAAGCTTGGTGTTTGGTACTCACGAGTATCGCTGAAACTAAGTTCTGTTGAGAAAAAAAGTGAAGATAAAAAATCGAAAATGTTGGTTAGTTCAATAAAATATTAGTATATAATATCAAATAATACATTACAATAAAAGCATATAATGAAATGTTTTTGTCTGTATTTCAGTATAGCATCGAATTAAACCCAAGATTAAAGATATTGGTCACAAAGCGCATGTTTGAAATCAAAGTTAAATTTTTGCTCCTAAAAGTTATACGTGTATTTCAATATAAAGTCGGCGCTTGTAATTCATGTATGATTTAGATGTGAGAGATGGATGCCGCTTCCATCATGCGCTATTTTAAAACAATTAATGTTCCACGAACATGTATTAGCATGCGCTTAGTCATAATAGGAAAATGATCATTAGGCTTTGTCACGCGCTTGTATCATCATCACCATCATCATCAATATGACTTAAGGGTTACTCTGCGACCAATATAATCAACAGATGTACTATGTAGGTATGTATGTATTATGTGAATGGTGTATGTACCAAATGCAATGACAATGACGACTATTACAATAACAAAATGGTTAGATGCAACGTTGAGCCTTGAACGGTAGTCCACAGAGGTAGGCAGATAGTTGCTTCACTCGATTCTATGATTCAAAATGTTAATAGCGCTTAGAAACCATTATATATATTTGTTTTTGTTCGTACGAGGTGGCTGGGGGTGGGGGTGGGGGTGGAGGGTATAGGTGGTACATGTAGACAGGTTTAATTCAAATACAAAATCAAATCAAACCAAATCAACCATAACAAGTGGCTTCGCTCACACGAACCTTGCGTAATGCACCTGGCGTCTGTGATGTTTGCTCATCGTGTGAAATGGTGCGCAATATGTTGGGGCCCTCGTAGTCTCCGTCGCTGTCCAATGAGCTCGAGCGGGTCTCATTGCTTTGACTGCAAAGATATGCAATTAATAACTAAATACATATACATGTATTAAAAGTGGAAATGTTGAAGCTCACTGTAGAAAGAAATCAATGTTCGCATAGTTGGAGGTACGACCGGGAGATTCAGGATCCGTTACGCTAGCCTGACTACTTAATTGTGCCATAGGCAGTGTACTGCCGGGCGTAGAGAGGTCATCACGACTAGACGAGGAGCCGGTGCGACCGGGCTTGATAAAAACATATTCACTATCGCCATTATCCAATGGCACGCTATCATAGTACGGCTCATTATCCGCTTGATGTGCGGCCGCTTTGGCACTGTCCGAGCTCAGCGATGATACTGACTCGTAGCTCTTGATCTGCCGAAAAAATATCCATTCAATAAATTAACATCGACAGAACAGTTTTGAACAAGTCAAATACTTACAACTTCTGATCTGCCTTGTGATGACAGCGATTCTTTTGATCCTGCACTGCGCTGATTGTTTGCTGTGCTTCCACCTACAGTTGCCTCAATGTCGCTGGCCTGCAGTGAGCTGCGAGACTTCTTTTCAAGGCTGCTCGTCGAGCTGCTATCCGCGGCAGCTAGCTTGGCGCTGTTCTTGTTGAGACTGCCCGTTGGCGAGGCGCCCACCGTTCCAATACTGCTCCGACCGGGTGTCAAGGTGCGCGAAGGTGTGGAGCCAGTGCGTCCTAAACTGCCGCCGCCGGCAGCAGCAGCGCCTTCCGCGCGCTTAGCATGCTCCAGACTGTCCGCCTTGACACTGCCACCTCCTACTTTGCGACCCAGCTCTTCCATCAATTCGGGCGTATTCGCCAGTTTGCTGAGCTCGGGTGTTGTTTTGCGATTCGCTGCATATGTTGACTTGGCCTCCAGATTCTCGGATGATTTCTGACGCAGTACGTCTGATGGTTTGACATTGCGTTCCAGTGAGTTTCCGGGACTTTCGCTGGAGGAAAGGCTGCCCCCGGAACTGCCAGTTGAGGGCAATGGCATGCTACTGCCTACGAACGGCATTTCACGCTTAGGGGATGACGAGAGCTGTTGTGAGTTGGGAATGGTGGGGGGCTCAACGCGTCTTGTGGCCTTTGGCGGCGGTCTAGGGGAAGAGATTAGAGTGTATTTTTATCAATCGAGTCTAGTTGAACGAATGACTATTTGTGTCACCTACCTGGGTGGCATTTTCTTTTTTGCCTCCAAATGTGTGGCATACGATGAGGCGGACATGGCGGGCGATGTCAACGATGACGATGCTGTGGGCTCCACTTTGCCACGCTCCGACGCATAGCGACCGAACGTCGTTGCTGCCGTTGGCGTCTCATTGCTCCCCATCGTTGCTGCATCATCGTTGTCTTTGTCTTTGGCCTCCTTGACCTGAATTACGGTTACAAAGTGCGTCGATGGCTTTCGCAGTGGCTTTGGCTCCTTGTCAATGCTGACAACACCACTGCCATCTCCACCTCCTTCTTGCTTGTTGTCGCTTTGTGTAGCTTTTTGCTCCCCACTTTTGCCAATGGACGCCGCCAGTTCACTGATGCACTGCTGCAGTGCACCATTTGCATCCTTTTCGTTACCACTGTCCTTGTCTTCACGTTCGAAGCTGTGCTCCGCACTATTACGCTTCACCGGAGCCGTGGCCAATCCGCTGCTACCACCGGCATTTGTGTGTGTGTATTTGTTGTCCGCATTCAGCGACAGTCTCTCCTTATCCTTGCCAACCCCTGAGGATGCTTCACGCAGATTTAAGCTCGATTTCTGCCAGGAAGAAGTTTAAAGATACGGATACAGTTTCTGCGTAGAGGTTATAGAAATAGCAATTGCATAGGCTAAATGAATCAAGTTTCAAAGAGAACTCGAAGGAACCGTGCTCATCACCAGTATACATATGTAGTTCGAATTTGTTTATTGTTGTTGCTGTGACTACCGACTATTAGTTAATAACATTCTCAACTGGCATCATAGCTTGAGCGGAACATAATCCTCGAATTACGGTGAATGACAACTTTATGACTTTATGAATAATTAATCAACTTTGAAGTTTGAAGATATATCAATAGTAATTGTAAATAAATTGAAAAGTAACAACAAGAAGCTAACTAATTTTCAAACATTATTTCGAACTAACACAATTTAAAGTACAACCAGAAACAAGAGAAGCCCAGAGGAAAACGCGATCACTATAATATATTTCAACCATATAAACAATATGACTAAGAATAAGTTATTGTATAAAGGTCTCATTGTTTACTTTTTGTGAACCAAATTAAATATTGCGAATTGAATATCGTTGCATTCCTAAGATCCATGCGCCCATACAGATGGATGGACAAGCATAAGTAAGCAGTCAAAATCATCTATGTACTTATTTATAACGACATTGCTTATAACGACACATCGGATAGAGGAACGAAATTCGGACGACTACTTCGTTTGGTTTGCAATACTACGCGTCTAAACTTAAATTGAGTCTCTGAGACTTTTCTTGGGGAAGAGCGAAAACAATTAAAATGAAAAACCAACTTAAGCTTTAAATCTTAAAAAATAAAGTACTTTAAACGAATTTAAAAACAAGAAAGGAATGCTATAGTCGAGCGAGCTAAACTCTTAAATACCCTGTACTCACTAGTCCCATAAAAAAGAAAAATATTTAAAAAAAAAATTAAAAATTAATTTTAAAAATTATATTAATTAATTAAATTAAAAATATTTAATACATACATACATAAATGAAGACAGAACTTGGACAGAGATTTTATTTATGACTATAACTTTCTTTATAAATGATGAATGAAATTCCAAGAATTACGGATTGCATCAGAAAAAAAACACAAACTCGTCCTTCCTGGGACTTGGGGAATCTGAATACCAAGTTTGGTTATTCTAGGCCTTATACTTCTGAGATCCTTGCGTTCATACAGTAGGACGGACGGACATGGCTATATCGACTCGTCTTGTCATCCTGATCTAGAATATATATGTATACTTGTGGGGTCTGCCACGCCTCTTTGTGCCTGTTACATACATTCGCACAAAACTAGTATACCCTTTCACCCTTTGGGTACAGGGTATAATAAAGCTGAGTGTTTTTCCTTTTTCATTGATGCAATAAACATTAAATATGGGTTTTTAAAAATCAATTTTAGCCTAATATCGTCAAAAAACATGCAAAATAAGAGTTAATAAATATGTACTTATGTATGTGCATATCTGCCTGCATTTATACATACATGGGTAGGTACTACCTAAAAAATATTGTCAGAAAGTCGCAGACCCCGCTGCTTTAAATTACATGCTCGGCACGTAAACGCATTGCAAAGCGATGGTGCCCATCGAGCGGTTTCATTAAAATGCCGACCATCGAAAGCGAACTGACAAATAAGCCAAACTTGGCTCGTGTGCACACACACTATATGCATGTATGTAGGCATGGACATACACTGGTCGGCACAATTATTTTGACGAACTGTACTCACGACTATCGGTGCTGGTTGCTTTTAGTTTCAAGGAATAACGGTACAATTTTCATACGGGATATAGAGTTCATAGCAACAACAATATGTAGGCAAAATATTTTGCCTATTACTCTTCACACCTTCTTTCTACAAATGACAATGTGAGTTGACTGCGGATTCAGGCACGGCATAAGTATTTTGACCAAATCTTTGTCGCCGTTTTCGCGTACGTTTTATCAAGTGATACTAAAATAACTTTGGTGTAACAATTTTTGTTGACCTTTTTACATTATTTTCATTAAAATTTGATTCAAAAGTAATCGATACAATGGTAAAAAAGACAGAATTAAGTTATGTTGTTAGAGCCTCAATAGTGGCGAAGTTTAATGCCGGCGTAGCACCAAAAGACATTGCAAATGAATATAATTTGTCGCGGCAAACAGTCCACTATCAAATTAACAAATATAAGACCCACAATCACGTCAAAAACTTGCCTAGATCAGGTGCTAACCGCAAAACAACACCCATTGAAGATCGAGTCCTATTGCGGGAATTTAAAAAAAATATTCATTTAAAGCCGCAAGCTGCTGCAGATCAATGGAATAAGTCGACCAAGACTCCAATCAGTGAGCGTACTGTTCGGCGACGCCTAAAAGAAGTAGATTTTAAGACATACAAAGCGAAGGACATACCTTACATATCAAAGGTGAACAAGCTCAAAAGATTGGCTTTTGCAAAGGAGCATCTGCATAAGCCAAAAGAGTTTTGGAGAAGCGTTCTATGGACAGATGAAAGCTCCTTTGAATACAATTCATCAAAAACAAAGATTTTTGTAAGGCTCCCACAGTTTCAAAGACAAAAAAATATCCCCGTATGTCAAAAAGTGAGCCATGGCGGAGGCTCAGTCATGTTCTGGGGATGCATTGCGTACAATGGGTTAGGTGATTTCGTTCCCATCACCGGCTCAATGAACCAGCAACAATATTTGAGTACCCTTAACGAAAACGCATTCCCTTCCGGTGACAGGCTGATTGGAGAATCATTTATCCTGCAACAGGATAACGCCCCATGCCACAAAAGCAAAATGATAAGAGCATTTTTAACCGATGTTGGTGTTACTACTCTGGATTGGCCACCACAAAGTCCGGACTTAAACGTTATTGAGAATGTGTGGTCTCTTGTAAAACGTAAAAGAAATGCGTCTTTGCATAAAACCGAAGAAGAAACTATTTCCGAGGTCACTTCTCTTTGGAAAGAGATACCATTAGAGGTCCTTCAAAATTTAGTGGACTCAGTTCCAAGACGTCTTCAAAAAGTTATCGAAGCCAAAGGCGGGTATACATTTTATTAATCTACCATCAATTTCTTATGTTTTGTTTAGTATTAAGCTTTGTTTTTTTTGTTAATATCCATTGTCAAAATACTTATGCCAACCCATGAAAATTACCTTGATTTATAATTTTAAAAGTCCTTATAAAAATATATCCTTTGAATTATTTTTAAGTTTGTAATACCAATATGGAATTGAGAAAAAAAATTTCCTTTGATATCTTAAACCAATAACCAGTTATTGACAAAAATGTATGATTTTCTTCTCGTCAAAATAATTGTGCCGACCAGTGTATGTATGTACATTTAGGCTTGTTTTGGCTATGAAAAAGTGAAAACTATGTACGCATACGAGTATGTGTAGATATAAATTGTAAAACAAAAACAGATCAAACGCTCCAAGTTTTTACCAAAAAGCTAAAAATTGACAACAAACTGTGATATTTCGATGTGTGTTTGTGTATATGATGTGTGTGTGTGTGTGTGGCAGTGGGTGGGGGTGGTGCAGCTGTCCAAGCCAGCGACTGACCGACAAACAGATGTGACCAAGCGAAGCGAAGAAGAAAGCGTATATGGGAAGATAGAGGGGTGTTAAAAGCAACAAAAGACTGAAAGAGGAGCTGTGCCAGACACTCTCATATTATATATATATATATATATGTATATATATATATATATGTACATACATATCTATATATATATATATATATATATATATATATATATATATATGCATATATGTCTGTAGACTCACACACGCCTGATATCTAAAGCTGCGCTGGAGAAACTTTTATCTTTGCGCCTCCGTTTCCCAAGAATATGCTCTGCTACAATATTATTTAGCATATTTTTAATCAACGACAACGGCTGCCTGCTTGAAAGCACAAATGTACAAACGTATATATGTATATACACATATATGTATATAGTATGTGCTTCTGTACATGTGTATTGTATGTAATCAATAAAAGCAAACGTGAAATATATTTGATGTGAATCATAAGAAGTCAATAGGCGGCAAGTGAGTTGCAGATACGGATACAGGGTAGGTTTTGACCACCCAGCTCCCACTACAGATATAGTAAAGCTACTCAGGATTCAGGTATGAGCTTGACTCAGCATTGTTTTATGCGCCCTCACACTCTCCTCCTAAAATAACCAGCTTATTAGCTGTCTAGCTTGTCCACAACTGGGCTGGGAGTGATAAATTCATTTGAAACCGAGTTCGAAAATGTGCCGTACAATGCCATGTCAAGAACCTTTCGGGAAGCTACAGTGAAGTACGTCCAACAATACCAAAATCTGAGTTTCCTTGTTGGCTTTAATTTCCATTATATAACAAAGTCTTCTAAGGCCATAGCCTTAGACAGGCAAATACTTAGTTTGACGAATTTCAAAAGATTGTTATAAATATTATCAGACTTTAATCAAAAGCAATAACAATTACTAAAAGTTTTCTTCTCGAAAAAGGCTTGTGAAACTTGTTTTTAGGCCCCACTGGAAAACTATAACGAATTTGTGTGTAAACAAACTACTCGTATTTATCACAAACAGTTCAAAATCAAGTTCAAAGCCGAAGCAATCATATTCACGAAATTGAATTTTTTAATGAGTAATTGTATTACCGTCTATGACGCATTAAATGCTAAAAATTTGAGCCGAAATCATATCAGCCCGTATACCCGTATCCGCGTAAACCACTCATAAGTTTTATAATCAAACAAATACGCTCATGAAACACATGATTTTCAGGTACAAAGTAATCCAAAAACGGACACTTATAAAATTTAATTTTCGGCGCTCAGGCATTTTCCCGAAAAGCGAAGAAGAAGAACTTGTTGTTAGCTAAGCAGATTTTAAACAAAAGAACTGTGGGAATGAATGTTGGGAAATCAGGAAATGGATCAACTATGTCAAACAAATTTCATGAAGAGGCGAAGGCCCGAGTAGCTAGTACTCGTTAATCTACTATTAAGTTTAGTATTAGGTACTAGATTTAATTTGTTAAAATGAAAAAAAAATAAAATAAATTTCATTAAAGTGGTGGATTTAAAGAGGACTATTCGAAGGGAAAGAAAACGGAAACACTTTAAATGATTTTCCATAATGCTGCCAAGACTAATTCAAAACGGTTCTTAATATGATATCCGTATGAATGTATCTTGTGTTTTTCAAGATCATATAAGCACTTGTAAATATATAATGTGTGTATATTCATATATGACTTAAGAATTTGCAAGATATACTATATATTATGTACTTATATAGATTTTAATTATCTATGCAAATGTTAAAGTCTAATCTAGACCTCGCTGTTGAATGAATTGTCTTTCAGATTCACCCATTCAAGTTGTTTTTTCTATTGTTTTCTTCAGAGTACTGAAGAGAAAGAAAATGAGATCGGGGAGCGAAATAGAGAGTAGGGCGTTACGTCTGTCTGATAAGCTATCAGTGGCAATGGAAATGCACGGATTTCTTAGCGCAAACTAACACCAGCAGCAATAATAACAACAACAATTTCAATGCTCGCTTACAATGGTGTTGTTGTTATTGTTGTTGGTGAGATGATTGCGCTAAACGCCTCCTGTTCTCCGCTACAGTTTAGACGTATTGGTAACCGTTTTTTGTTTTTTTGTACTTTAGTGTCGAGTGTTTCAGATACTGTTGTTGTTGTTTATATTTGCCGTTGTGTGTATGAATGTGTGTGTGTTCCGCTTTTGCCACTTTTTAAACTGTTTTTTTGTTGCTGTTGTTGTTCATTTATTGCTTAATTTTATAGCACAAGTACACAAAGCCAACAACATCTACTATGTATATGACCGGGGTAGTGAGGGTGTGGGGGTGGCATGGGGCGTTTGCTTTAGCGCTCTATTGTTGTCATTGTATGCATGTGTTTGCTTATATATATATATATATATATATATATATATATATATATATATATATATATATATATATATATATATATATATATATATATATATATATATATATATATATATATATATATGTGTGTGTGTGTGTGTGAGGGCGATAAGTTTATTGATTTCAACTTGTGATAATACAACAATTTTTCAATAGCATTGCCTTGAATGCTCATATGTACATACATATGTAGTTGCTGTTGTTGTACCATTAACTGTTCTTTTTTATTGTTGTTGTGAACATTATATTCACGTTATATTCATAGCTGTTGCACAGCACTGTCTGTGTCTGTGATTACGCACCCCTCTAGTCCATAGCCTGAATTTCTCTTTAAAGGATGACATGTCTGCCCGCCACTTTGGATAACTCAATTGGCTGCTACTATATGCGCTTGATGTTGCAGTAGTAGTAGTAGTTGTTGTTGTTATATCTGCACAAATATGTATGCTGAAGAACGCAGTGAACGGGAAGCGCGAAGCACAATAACTAAACTGATTAATAACAAACAAAAAAACAAATAATAGTAGACCCACAAAACGAAAAGACTTTAAACGGGCGTCTACAACGACATTAACGACGTCTCCCGACCCCGCCCGACGCCACTAACCGATATTGACCACGAAATCCGAGTTAACACTTAACGCCACAAAACGTTCAAGCGTTCCGTTCTGCGGCCAATTTAGCCGCTAGCGCTATTTTACGTAAGTGTCGTTAATATGCAAAACCCTTTAACACGTTTCCAATTTTTAAGAATTCAAATGCAACACTCGAGTTTCGTTACGTTTCGTTTAATTGTTTTCTTTAATTTTCTATTTATGGCCACATTTTAGGCCTTTTCACACTTTGGCTCTTTCACTGGGTTTCGTTATTGTTTTTGTTTTTGCTATTTTTTAGGCGTACCCATAACCGTGAAAATGAAAACGAGGTGCGCGTTTTGTTCTATTTGCTAACTGGCCCCTTTGGCCAGTTACTGACGACGATGCGCAGCCGGAGTCGAAAGTCAGTCCCATTCGCAGTCGACGACGCGCAAAACCGAAAGAAAATAAAGAGCCACACACTCGCATACATGAGTATCAGAGTCTCTGTGTTTGTGTGTGTGTGTGTGTGTGTGTGTGTGCAGAGATAACAAGGCAAAATTAAAGATATCGAAATGCTAGAACACATGGAGCACGGACGACGCACGCATAGATACGACATACGACAAAAAGCCAGCGAAAGACGACGCCCACAGAGGCAGAAGCAGCGGCAGCGGCAGAAGCAGCGACTGTGACAGCAACAGAAGCAGCTGTTGAACGCTGATTGAAGCTTGGACGCTGGGCAGTTGGGCGGTGGGTGGGTTCTTCAGTCGCCTCTGATAAGATTCAAATTATTTACCAATATATATGTAATTAGTAGATGTAGCTTTGGGCCACGATCACATTGGCAGTGAACTTGGCATGAAATATCAAACATTGACACAGGTTGGAGACTTTTGTGTAGGTTATGGACGGCTATGGAAGTCATATATGTAGCTTATATTGGTTGGATAAGTTACTTGAAGACTCAGTATAATCCGACTCAAGCCACACCCAGAAATAGTCGAAAACAAAATTGGCATTTGAAATTTTAAAATAAAAAGAATCAACTGAAAGTATTGTATTCGAAGTGAACAGAAGTCTAAATAAAATGTTAAAGTAGGGCAGTTCTTAGTTCCCAACAATGGGAAATTTCTATGGAAAGCTTTAATAAATATTTATTCAAATGAACTTTTTATACTCGTATAAATACCTCAGGTGTTTTATAAAAAACGTAGAAAATAGAAACATATTTGCGATCAGAAAAATAGAATTTATTTATTTATTTTTACAACAACAGACTGACAAGACAAGACTTACCAACAATAAACCTCATGGAAAAATTACTATGGATAATAATATAAGTTTTCTGCTTCATTCATTAAAACATCTAAAATAAACAAATATTTGTTTAATAAATAAAAAGCGATCGTAAAGGTCAGGATTAGAACCTGAGAGTCCTATCTTTTGTCCCTCACAGCGCTTAAAGAAACTTTACCACCATAATTTTGAAAAACATTCAAAAAAGGGAAGCTATATGCACACGTAGGTTTTAATTTCTGGGTAACCAATATCTTATCTTATCCAAACTCGTACACTCCCTTACAAAATAACAAAAAAAAAAAACTGAAAACTGTGAAGCAGCTAGTGCAAGCATTTCAATGATTGTTATTGTAAATTTGGCGTAACATTTTTAGTGTTAAGATTTGGAATGGTACGAAAGGAAAATTCGCAGAACGGATAAAAACTGCCGATAAACACGAAATACCACAACATTCATTAAACTGCGGATCATTTCAGACTTGCATAATGACCCCAGTCTGTATATTGATGAATAGAAGATTTTCATTTCGCTGCAGGGGCTCTCAACTATCACTCTGACAGGCTGCGGTTCCCTCATTAGTGCGGGACCGTTGGCAGCAGCAGCCAAGACAACGTCGCTGCTTCTGCTGCCGCTGCCTTACTGATAAGCAGCCAATGACATTTGCTGCCAGCTACTAGCGAACAAGCTGACTACAAACATGTACATACATATGTACATATGTATGTAGCAATTGCGCTACTCTGGGAACGCTGCGCGCCTGCTAGCGGCGCTCACAGAACAATCGCTCAAAGCAACATCAGCAACATCGTTTATTTGTTACATGACATGGAAAATTAGTTAGTTGCATGGGTTGGGTGTGTGTGTGTGTTAGTGTGCATGTACTTACAAAATCTTTATCCACGCCAGTTGCACCATTAGAGGCTGTGCTGCTGCCGCTCGATGATGATGCTGCCATAGCTGGTTGCTGCTGAGACGGTGACGTTGCATTGCCAGTGGCTGCTTCAAAGAGCGTTGTCGGATCACCGCCCGATTCACGATATTTCTCAACATCGGATAGTAGACGCTCCAAGTACTCCACATATAATGTTTCCTGCTCCAGCTCTTTACTTAGCTCGCCTATTTTAAGCTTGTGCCGCTCGAGGCTGGCACGTACATCCTGCTCCCAGGCATCAGAGAGTGAGCTTTGTGGAAATCGTTGCACCCACAGGCGTTGAAAGTCATCAAAGACGCTCATTGTGTGTGATGGCTGCTCCTCTAACTACAAATACTTCTTCTAATACACTGATGCTGCTACAGCTACAGTTGTTGTTATTTTCTGATGCTGGGACAAGGCTGTATCGTTTGGTTATTAACGAAGGCGAGGTGTTGGCTTTTATGTAATAAGCGCCAGTTCTTTGTCGCCTTGGCTGTAGCCTGAATTGAAACGGTTAAGTGTGTAAGTATGTATGTACATATATTTGTATGCGCTCGTGTGTGTGTGTGTGTGTGTGTATGTGAGCGTCTGTTTGCATGCGTGCGTCACAGCTGCAGTTGCAGCTGCAGTTGCAGCTGCAACAACAACAAGAACTACACAACCAGTCAGTCGTTTGTCTTGTATCCTTGCGTGGGGCATCAACAACAACAAGACCCGTTGCTGTTGACAACGGCGAATGAAGAGCATCAACAACACGCTAGTGGCAAAGGCTGGCTATGGCAGAAGCGCATCAGATTCATCACGACTTGTATTTTAGTTTTCTGTTTTCTGTTTTGTTCTTCTGCTGTTCTTTTTTCTCTACATTTTTGTTTGCCTTTTACAGTGCGCGCGCTACCACTGACACCGACTGCTCTGCTCCATTGTGAGCCGCTGCCTTTGCCTTTGCTGATGTTGCTGCACTTGTAGTTGTTGCCCTTTCAATTTGCGACGTTGCGTGTGTGTCTGTATGTACAGATGTCTGTATGTATGTATGTGTGCAAATGCAATGCAAGTTTGTTTTCGTTTCTTTTTTTTTTAGCCAAGGCCAAAAGTTGTTGTGTCTTTTACAGACGCAATGATCTCGTTTCACTTTTTACTTTTATTCATATACATACATATATAGTATGTATGTATGCATGTGTATATATAACAAAAACAAAAAAAAAACAAAAGAAACTACTACTACCAACTGCAATAATAACAACAACACTGGCCAATCACCCACGCAATGCTGTTAAGTTTTGTTATTATGATAGCCGCTAATTTTTGTTGTTGTTGTGGTTGCTGCAGAGATTTATTTTGGGCAAGTTTTCATTTGGTTGGTCTTCTTGATGCCGACGATGTTGAGGTGTTGTTGTTTTTGCTAATGCTTTTTTAGTCAGCTGCCAGACAATCAGTGGGCGTTGCAATTGGGCGCAGCTTGAAAGCCGTCGCTGTCACCGCCACCGTCGAGTTTTTGTTATGCCCTTTGCTAGTGCAGCACACACGACACACTCACGCACACATGTACACAGATCCTTTTTCTTTATTATTTTGAAGCAGCTTACAAGTTTATTTAAATTTGTACACTGTCTTACAATTTCACTGCAATTAATTTATTTAATTCCAATTTGATTGCGTTTAGAAAAAATCACTTCATACACACACACATTTGCCCGTTGGCCAACGGGGCCATAAACGCACGCACACACCTTGTTGGAGACACATTTGCATATATACATATGAGCATAGATGCGCACTGGTGTGTGTGTGTGTTTGTTTAAAACTCGGCTTTGTTTTTGTATTAACTCACGTTTCATTTTTCCAAAAGACACATTCGTAATACTTGCGGAAAATACTTTTAGTTTCGACGCGATTTCAATTTTTTACTTTCTCATTGAACTTCTTAGCAGTTATTACGGATTTCGAGGCAAAGATGCCCAAAAGGTTGTGCTTGCGATAGCAACGATAGATTTTGTGCAGTGCTGTAAAATGTTTGCTTGTAATAATTGGCAGCACTGCTGATTAATATTTGGTGCTGCCACGCTCCCTTGGATAACGACTTTTTAAAAAGGTGTAAGTGTTTACTGTTTAACGGGATAATATAAATTAATGTGTGTGTGTGCAATGTACATAAATATGGGCTACATTATATTAAATACAATACTGAACATAGGTGGAAATTTTATTTGGAACATTATTTTTAATTATATTTTGTAATTTGCTATACAATTTTGTGGTCTAGTGTCCACAGCTCTAGAGAACAAAGTCCAAAAGTAAATGCAAATTCGTTTATCTAATTCCTTCATCACGTTTTTTATAAAAACCTTAAAGTCAAGCACCAATAAAAGGAACTAAATTGGCAGTGTTCGAATAAAGCATTTGAGATCTTCACTCTCATCCGGTCTGATCCCATTGTTTGTCTAAAATGGCAGTAATGTTATGAAATGAAGGTAAGAATATTCATTTTTCACATACAAGATGACAAACTTATATACTCGTGTGTTAAAATAATTGAAATTGTTATATAATGACAGATTTCCTAGCAGTACATTTAGGATAGGGTGAATCCAGAAGTAAAGAAAAACGTATTTACAAGTTCAAATATACATTAAAATTAAGTAAGCATGTTAATTTCAGGGGATTTTCCTCTAAGAATGAGTAGCATTTTATGGAAATGATGACATATTCTAAATAAAGAATGCTATGACTGCGAGTATCATGGCCTTAACTCATAAGAATATTGCTGCTTATCGTATATTTATTAGATAATACCTAATTAAGACTTTGTCGCAGTTGATTAAATGCTTAAAAATACAAATATTTATGCGTTTGTCGGCAATCCCTTTTGGTCTCGACCATCAATTAGTCAGCTAACTCTACGAAAAGTGAACTTTCTATTTTAGACGAGCGTGACGTTTGTACGTCTATATGAATGCATATGTACGAGTATGCTTGGAAACAGGGCCATGGGATAGCGTCTTATCGCAAATATGTACATATTTCAGCAGTATTGATAGTTCCAAGCGAGTACCGGATATCGTATCGTATCATATAAATACGGTGGCTTATGGCCGATGGACAGTCAGTAATTTATTAAAATCCGGCTAGCGCCCACGACGTTAAGCAATAAATATTAATTACCTTTTTTTTTCACTAACTTTAAGCCATTATTTATAAGGATATTCACACACGCACACAAGCAAAATGTCGTAAGTAAAGCAAAAGAATGGAGATCATGGATTAGGATAAGCCCATCATCACCATCGTTGATGTATCGTTTGGTTGATTGAATTGGAAGATGAATTGAAGAGGAATAGATCACAACCAAAGTATTCATATTTTTTCGGAACTGCTTTCAAAGTCATCAAAATGATTTTGTATTAGAACACCTGAGTATTATGTTATATGTGCAGTTATTTGACGTCCTCAGCGATATTTTAACTGGGTACGCCTCGGCGCCTTCTTCTCACCCTTCATCGTTGCCTTCTTTCGTCCTAATTATACTTAAATTGCATATCCTTCTTCTCAATTTGTATCCCCAACAGCTGTTGCAAAAAATACGCCGTTTGCTGGATTATACTCGTGGTGGCGCTGGTCGGTATTACCTTAGGCCTAGTCTTCGGTCTACGCGGACACACGGAAGAGCCCCGTCGGTATGGGGCCGTCGCCTCCAATGGCGTCGGCTGTGCCGAAGTGGGTGGCAACATTCTGGATATTGGCGGATCAGCGGCCGACGCTGCCATTGCAACCATGCTGTGCGAGGGCGTCATGTTGCCGCACAGTCTGGGCGTTGGCGGTGGCTTTGTGGCGACCATTTACTCCAAGGAGACGGGGTTCATTGAGACGCTAATAGCACGCGAAACGGCACCAGCAGCGGCCACCCAAGACATGTTCGTGAACAAGAACATCACCGGTGCCCTATCATGTGCGGTGCCCAGCGAAATCTACGGCTATTGGCGTCTGCATGACAAGTACGGCAAGTTGCCGTGGCGCGATCTCTTCCAGCCCACGATCAATTTGTGCCGCAATGGCATAGAGGTATCTCGTTATTTGGCCAATGTTCTGGATACCCATGGGGATCACATACGCCAAGAGCCTTCGATGGCCGAGATATTCGTTAACCCCAAAACCGATGAACTCTACAAGGAAGGTGAAATCATGTACCGTCATATGTTGGCCGAAACACTGGAGATAGTAGCCAATGAGGGCCCAGAGGTCATTTACAGAGGTGGACGTGTTGGACGCAAGCTGGTTCAGGACATTCAGGCCATGGGTGGCATTGTGACGGAGCAGGATTTACAGAATTACGAGTATGTAGGCTCTAAAAATAGTTTTCCTAGTTTGCTTATCCAAGTTCGTTGCAGAGTGCGTTGGGAAGATCCGTTACGGGCTCGTTTTACTGGAGGGTATGAGCTTTACACTTCCCCACTGCCCACCAGTGGTGCTGTCCTGACTTTCATGCTGAATGTCATGGAACCGCTGTACACCACAAATACGGACAAGTACTGGCAGCGTCTCATTGAAACGTTCAAGCACGCGTATGGGCATCGAACCAATCTGGGAGACATTCATTTCGAGCCCGAAGTGCGCGAGGTCTATGAGAAACTGATTGATCCAGAATTTGCAACTGAGATTCGTGAACTGATCGTTGATGATCGCACGTTTACGGATATCGCTTACTATGGAGCGAACTTCAGTAATGTGGAGGATCATGGTACGGCGCATATTTCAGTGCTGTCACCCAATGGCGATGCTATTTCAGTGACCAGCACCATCAACAGTCATCTGGGTGCCAAGGTGCGCTCCCGTCAGACAGGCTTCATATTAAACGACGAGATGGATGACTTCTCGACGCCAGGTGTGGTCAACACTTACGGCATCCCGGCTAGTCCAGCAAATTATATCAAGCCCGGCAAGCGTCCACTCTCGTCTACTTGTCCCAGCATTGTGCTCGATCCGGAGGGCAATGTCAAGCTCTTGGTGGGCGGTGCGGGTGGCTCCAAGATTACAACATCGGTGGCACAGACGATTCTGCGCTACTTTGTGCTTCACGAGCCACTCGAGCGTGCGGTTAATGCGGGTCGTATACATCATCAGCTGATGCCGATGCTGGTCGATGTGGAGCCAGAGGTGCCGAGACACACGGCCGCCTATTTGAGACGTATTGGGCATGAGCTCAACTATTTGCCCGGGGACAAGGCCTTCTCAGCACTAACGGCCATTGGTCTAATGGACACGGAGCCGCATCCTGTTTGCGATCGGCGCCGTGTGGGAAGCGCCGTAGTCGTGGAGCCCGAACGAATCTAGATGATTTACAGGCCCAGAAAACAGAAATGCTCACTGAAGAGAGGTTGTTTCTTTAAATACATTTTATTCACAAACTTCTATATATTCACACATCTTTTATATCAAATATATAAAAAGTTTTATTGTGGGTTGTATAAATTAAGGTTTACGAGTGCGTGTATTGTGTAAGTGTCTTGGGAATTATAAATTATAACTTAAGGGGCTAAACTCAACAACCAGCAGCTACATGCAAAATATTTCAGGGTATAACACAACAATGGGGGAAACTTCGACGGGCCGAAGCTGGTACACTCTTTGAAAACCAATCATCTTCTAGCCTCGGTCCTTAAAAACATCGCATTGAATAGATGAAATAAACGGTTTAAGCGAAATACTATCAAATTCTCATTAAAAACAATTTAATACAGTGCGTTTTATATTTATAGTGCATCTAATTGTTTTTTTTTTTTTTTTTTTTTGATAAACTTGGCAGTTGATCTAGCCTTTAGTTACAGATTCTAAAATATAGTATTGAATTGATTGCGTGTTTGAGTGCGTTACTTAAAAATTTGATTGCTTAAACGAATTAAGCTAAGAAATGAATGCTTAAATAAACAAATAAAATTTTTACATACAGGGATAGCGGTTCAAATTTAACACTGATGGGCCAAAAGCTCAGTAGAAGCCTGATCAGAAATTGTAAAACAAATGCTCAAAACAGCAACATTAATGCCGGAATAGAGGCGGATTTGCGGCAATGTGTCGAATTCGATGTCTGTATGCAAAAATGTATGAGCTCTATTGGATTATAAAGAATCGCTTTTGAAACATAGGCTTAGGCTTCGCTTGGAATGGCTGAAAGGCCCCTTGCCCCTCTTCGCTACTGTAGCTATTCGGTGCTTCTAAGGAACCTTGCGATATTCGCACATTCGATGTTTACCAGCTCTGAGAGCAAAGAAGAACCCGCGCCTACTGAGTGCTGGGCAGTAACAAAGGAGGTGCTCGACACTCTCCTCCTCTTCTTCATCTCTACAGCTTCTACAGAAGTCATTGTGAGGGATCCCTAGTCTTGCAGCGTGCCTCTCTACTGGGCACTGGCCAGTAAGCGTTCCCACAATCAGCGAGACGTCCTTCCTGCTCAGTTTGAAACATAAAACACCCAAAATTATTGAAGGCTCCATTTTAACTTTAAAATAGCTTAGCAAATGATCCTTTTTATAGGAATAATGTAAGTTCTCAAACCATGTCTTAACACAATTTTATCTAATAGGTTTTATTGTCTGATGAGAAATCGTTCAATCTACTTAAGCCAGCTAGTTTTCATTCTTACTGGAATGATATTAGAAAAGATTCGCTTGCATTTTCGAAGCTACATTTAAATGATTTTTTCAAAACTTTTGGATAATTCTATTAAAATCCATAGAAATAGTACGCAATTTCTAACGTTTATGATTTAATAATCTGGGTACAGTTGAAAGTATTCGTAATCTTCAAATAACTTATTAAACAATAACAAAAAATAAAGTTCGATTGTTTTCTGTAGCCATACAAAGTATTAATAAACATTTTTGTTTAATAAAGTTATATTAACGTTGTACTGAAAACGAATTGCTTCTTTTTTTTTTTTAAAGTGAATTTTAAAGATTTTGATATTTACATTTTTTAAACTTTAGATGATTTATAGCTTTTTGGTAAATATTTTCTGCAAAAAATAGGTGTCCTATAAATATGAAACGCACTATAAGCTACCAAATAGCTCTACACAAGAATTAAGTTAGAAAACCGTACTCTATATGGAGGTATACACTTTGTAGGTAATTCATTTCACAAAAACTGATAAAAATTTAATGTTTCTTGGCTGAAACATTTTTTTCTTGGATTTTTGACAAGCTTTAAAACATCGTTAGGTATACGGACACACTTCTCGCTACGGAACTTGGATATTCATAAGCATAATTGTTTATATTACAAAAACCGTTATAGTAGTAGTAGAAGTAGTAATAGTGCTACTACTACAACTTTTGTAAAACATCGTTTATATGGCAGCTATACATGTTATAGAGAATTAGCCCGTTGGGTTATTGTTTTGCTTCTGTTTATCGGGTTCAGCTTACGATATGAAGTAGTTATGTTCATGTGTAATATATAAATATATACAAAAATATCGAAAAATGCAAAGTTGATTATACTGCATTGGGGAGAACTTTCTATTATCTACAATAGTATCCCTACACATCTGTTCAAAATTGAGATAATAGTTGGCGTAAATACGTACGGACAGAAAAAAAGGTCGAATCTATCCACTCGCGTTATCACACAGATACCTAATGTTAAATAAATACAAAAACAAAAATACCACCATTAACGATCTCTTAAATTTGATATAATATTATTATATTGATATAATTGCTTAGCCACTAAAACCAATGTGAAGATAAACAAAATGTTGTTAGCCCGAATTAGGTTTTGTTCCAGATTTCAAAGGCAAAGATACATGAAGAGTTTTGACCTTACAAGAAATGTTTTTATCCTTTGGTGCACAGTATTATAATTTAAACTGCAATCGGAAAAACCCTGTTTGTAGAATTTCTAAATACTTTTAAACATGCCAGCTTATGCTGGCTAATGTATCAAAAGGAGTAGCACAGTCTCAGTTTTCTAAAGATTCTCCTTGTTCCTGCTATATTTTTTAAAAATAATTAACGAACCATGTTTTCAAAGAGTATAAAAATGAAAATCATAATGATTATTATTGCGACAAGGCACTCGGCTCTGGTTTTGGGAACTTGGGCACGTTGACGAAAAGCAACGCACCTTTAAGAGTTGAGAATGTGGTTGGGTTTGGCATTGCGGAGCCCTTTTCTGCGTTATAAAAACGAATCTGTGCTCTGTAGGTTCGTGTACCTGAATATCAACCTATAAGTTGACACTGCACGCAGTTTTAAAGTTGTATTAAGCGTATGGTTAATCATCATCGGATATTCGTCTGGTACGTTTGTGGGCAATTTTACGTTTTTTGTGCTCCGCTTCCATCCGCATATCTTCCAAGTCCTCTTGTAAGCCTACATTAAATAAAAAGAACACAAATTTTACTCAACCGTGAGTGGGCAGAGACCGTTTCATAGACGAACCTAATTTTTTGCTTATAAATTCTTCGCGCTGCATTTGAGCAAAACTTGACTCCATTTCTCGATCATCAAAGTCCTGATCGCGGTATCTCCGCTTATCATAGCCAAAGATATCACGTATATGCGATGATATGTCCTCTTCGCAGTCTCCATCATCGATGAAATCATCCAACTCAGAGTCGTATTCATCTTCATCATCATCGTAGATACGTTCTGTATAAGGTAAAATTATATAATATTAACGAACAGTCACAAAAAATTGATTTTTTTCTATCTACTAAGAACTGATTATTCCTACAACGACTATATGGTACATACATACAATTTTGATACATAATGGAGTTTTAATCACCCATGCTTAGGATTCAGTTTTTCGGTTTACTGCCTATGTGGCTGTAATTTGTAGAAATATTAACTCTGGTGTTGTTATATTATTGCGTTACAGTTGGTTCTTATTTAATCTATATGCTTTTATGCAGCATGGATCAGTGCAGCACAATTCTTTGGTAAGACAGTCGAAAAATAACTCTAATATTTCACTTATGAAGATAAGTGGTTTTTAGTTATTTGTCGTCTTTGTACTTTGTACTGATTTGTATTGAAATCATTAAGTATTTCTAATCACTTCTAACCACATAATTTTAATCCAAACATGATTTGACTCACTTTTGTTGACTGGCTCGGCTGGTCTGCGAGGAGGTGGCGCTGGACGTCCTCTGACATCGGGCGGTGGGAATTGTCGAGTTTTGGTGACGTTGACTGAGTCGCGTGGCGGAAACTCGCGAGTTGAATTTGTCTTGCTGGCCGCAGCGTAGGGATTTCGAGATTGACTGGCCTTCGAAGTGCCGGCACTGCTGCTCGTTTGTGTTTTTGTAGATGGTGCTGTGTTTGCTTTACTGATCGTTGAGGACGAGGCTGTTGTTTTTGTTGTATTGTTAACATTGGCTTTCGACGAATTTGCCATTGATGTGGCTGGTCGCTTAAGGCTATCACTTGTGGGCTTGACTTTGGACTCACTATGAACAATTGTTGTTGACTTCGGTGTTACCGATTTCGACACACTCGATGTGTTTGGTGTGGCGGAGGCAGCGCTATTGAGCTTTGGTATACGTCCATTTGGTTCCATTCGATTGCTGCTGCAGCTGCCGCTGCCACTGCTACTGCCGCTGGTGGTTCCGTTCTCTTTTCGCGTTTCCTTTGACTTTTGATCTCCATCACGCAAGCGTTCGCGTTCCCGGCGCGCACGTTCGTCCTTTTGTCGCTGACGCTCCTCAAGTTCGCGTTTCTCACGCGCTGACAACAGTCGCTCTGGCTCCCTTTTCTTCTCCGGTGCAGCAAATATAACCGGTTCATGTTGCTTCTTTTCAGCCAGACGCAGCAGAGCCTGAAAATCCATCGGCGGTGGCTGAAGCGGCCTCTTGGATTTCGCCTTCTTTTGGTCTTCCTCGCGTTTTTTGCGCTCCTCCTCGCGGCGCTCCACTTCCGGATCATAAAGAGTTTTTGATGTGCCATATGCACGGGCGACATTTACGTCCTTGCTGCTAGAGCTCGAGCTTGGCGTGTTTGGTGCTGCTCCGATGCTGCTGCGTTGTCGCGTATGAGTCTTAGCCTCCTCACGCTCCCGCGTTATTGCCGCCTTGACCCGCTCTTTAGTGCCGCTGAGATCACGCAATGATTGCGGACGACTTGGCGCAAATCCTTTATCCTCCTTCACATCCTTTACTTTTTCTATGTATTTCTGATAAAATGCGTTTGCTTCAGTAGATACGTAACCGTAGTCATCACCATCTGCATGATCGGGTCCGTCCATAGTGCCACCATCCTTGGCATCTTCGAGCACAGACTTATTGGCCGACTTTGTGACTTTTAGCATTTTCCGAATTTTATTTTTGGACTTTTCATCGCGCATGGCCAGCAGATTGGAAAGCTTCTCTCGCTCCTCCCGTTTACGTTGCTGCTCCTCTGCTTCACGCTTCTTGAGAAACTTTTGTATGTTGTTCGAAAGTTGTTTACTCTCCTTGCTCTCCTTCTTGGGTGGTGCATATTTGGTGCTGTAGAATTTACCCTGCTTGGAAATAAATAATAATAATAGAATGACACTTGTTGACACTGCAACACACAAACATACATAGGTATATGCACACAACAAAGATGCAATATGGTTGGTAGTCAGTATGCCAATGCATCCATATGTACATTCATACATATGTATATTACACATACATATGTATGTAAATATGTTTAATTTAGAAGTATACCTGGTAGTGACCCCCTGGTGGGCCAATGCCTTCAAATTCTTAAATTTAAAAGTGACAGTTTTTGGGTCAACAAATTGGCCACATACATATGTATGTATGTACTCAGTCTTGCATATATATTAGGGTGCACATTGTTTAATTGAACGAGCATATTTCTGATAAAAACAATAGCAACAAACCTCATCTTTTGTAGTTGCATCGTTCTTTTTCTTGGCATAATGCAGCAGCGCGCCGAAGTCCATGTTAGGTGTCCCTCTATATGATGTCACCGAAATATAGTCTCCAATTTGTATCAAAATAAATTGAACGCGTTGTATTTGCGTTTCTTTTTAGGGACGTACGGACTTGTTGGTTGAATACTCTAGAAAGACTGGATGTTAAATAGAGATGGCAAAAACTTCGATGCCTTCAGTCACGGTATCGATGCCCATCCCAATGTCTTGCACTCACGACTCTCGATTATAACAGGGGAGTTTGCATTCATTTACAAGAATTATCGCTGTACATCGTGCCCAGTTCCCATTAATTTACGCGTAACGAGGGTGAATTAAATTTATTAGGCAACTAACAGTAATTCATGCGAAGCAATACAATAATTCCTGCAGATGCCGATGCTGCAACGAGCAGTAAGTCCGGTAAAGTTAGTGAAATGGGCGAGAGTAGCCAGAGCCAAGGAGCTGGTGATGGCGATGCTGGCATCTACACAGAATGTTGCTTTGATGGCGAGGGCAGCGAAAAAGACCCAAATATTAGGGAGACGGCAGCTGGAACTGTTGAAAAGTCAGAGGAGCTTTTAAAACTGCATCAGGCCGATCTCACAACTAAAGAAATCTTAGCAGATTCAATGGACGATTCGGAGGAAATGGCGTCTGAGCTGGAAGATGGGCAGCAAAGGAGGCCAAAGCATCGAAGAGGTCATGAAGATAATGCATATAATGGTGGAGAGCAAGTGCAAAAACAATCACAAGAAATGGTGCTTGAAAATGATGGCGAAAAGCATGAAATTAAAACAGATATTGCATCCAGCTCAGTATCAGGAACGAGGGCAGCAGAAAATACGCCAACGTCGACAATTTCAAAGCCAATCAGTCCAGTTGAAATTAAAATCGAAAACCAATCAACGAGGCCCATTGACTCAGCAGATGCACCACCCTCACCGGAGCCCACTACTTCATTCCGTCATAGTCCTAAGATTACACGAAGCAGCATCAACGGCACCCGCACACCGACAATGCTAAAACGCTTACGCAAGAGCACGCGGAGTACACGTTTCAAGGCGAAAATGTCGATGCGTAACAATGCATCTGGCAACAATAACAGCAATGGCTTTAATGGACAAAACCCCATTTTATCGGCGCACATAGCCGCATCTTCACCACATCCTGGCAGCAGCAAATCGCACAGCAAGGCAAGTGGTATTGGAGGTGCAGGCACTATGACTAGCATGAGGAGTCGACGTGCTCTCTTCAAACGACCGGCACAGAAAACTCCAAAGGTCCAGGCATGCACCAAGTTCGTAAAGAGCGTCTTCTATAAGGGCAGCTATATGCAAATTGGAGACATTGTGAGCATTGTGGATGGTGAGGATGGAGTGTATTATGCGCAAATACGAGGTCTGCTTGTGGATGCCTATTGTGAAAAGTCGGCATTTCTTACCTGGCTTATACCTACGCAGGACAGTCCGGATCCCAAAGAAGGTTTCGATCCGGCAACCTATTTAATTGGTAAGTTGTAGAAACACTCAGGGATAGCTTAAGCTACAGCATGAATGTGTTTTATTTCAGGACCCGATGAGGAGCTATCCCGTAAGCTATGTTACATGGAGTTCGTGATGCATGCGCCTAGCAATTATTACTATGATCGGACAACACCCTTTCCGGTACCCGATGTGGACGAATATGCGCCACAGCGGGCATGTGGTTACATTTGGACCCGATTGCCCGTCGTAAAGCGTGAAAAAAATGATGCACATAGTTGAACGAATTCAGCATTAATTATCAGATACCCATAATACTTCATTAAAAATCATGGATAAGGATATTTCTGAACAATTTGAACAAGTTAATTTATTGTAATTTCTGTATATGAACGAAACTTAAGTATGTGGCAACATGCCAATCTTGCCTAGGTCTATGGCTACTATCAGCAATTGACAGGTATATTTCTATTGTATTTCCCAGACTATTGAGTATAATAATGTGTGTTCTTTTTCCTTTCATAATGTTTAAGTCAAATTAAAGTTGGCATTCATATTCACAATTCGCATTTGGTGTTACTAATATTTAGATTGGTGCCTATTAAATTCGAGTTGCCCGGTAGCGGATTGTTAATGGAACCATCCTGCTCGTGCAGGATGCGACCCAGCTCCTGGTTAACTCCTTGTTGCTTGCGAAGCCCTCGCTTTGGCTTTGGTGGACGTTGTGGCTTCTCGACAGGCTGATACACGGGCCCCATAAATGTAGTCATTGTATTAGCGAGCATGTGGCTGTTGGCACGTGCAAAGGGCTCACTGTTTGACATCTGGTTGGTTAGCTGTATGCGTTGGGCAACCTCTGCCTCCGCCTTTAAAATGCGCAATTCAATTTCGCTGCTGCACTTGATGTCTATGTGTTGGCCAGGCTTAGACTCCGATGTGACTTGTGACTCTGATTCCGGCTGCTGCGGCGTTGATTTTTCGAGCGATTGGGATTTCTGCGACAACTTCAGTTTGGCCAGCTCTCCTAGAGAACGACATTTGACTACTTTGCGTGCAACCTCCTTTAGCTTTGCAACCTGTTCCTCAATTTGCTCGTTGTTGGTTCCGCTTGCACTAGTGCCTTGACGTCCAGCGAGCACTTCATTTAGAGCCGCCTCAATGCTAGGAGTCAAGTGCATATCCCCATTCTGACGCATAATGCAGCATTGTTCAGCAATTACCACTAGGATGCTGTAGAGTAACTGAACCAGTTCACTGAGAATTTCACCGCTTTTAATAGAGATAGTCGTGATGGCTTGGTCAATGGCACTCTCGTTGCGCGTAAAAAATGGACATAAGAAGTCATCGTAAATCAGTTCGCTGCCGCCTCCAACAGTAGGTAACAACCAACAAAGAAAAAAAAGCTTGAACTCATTAATGAAGGGTACCCACCAGATAAGACCAACGGAGAAGAACTCGATGATGGCATAGACTCCGTAAGCGATCCAGTACGATAGCCAAATGTTCTGCTCGCGTTCTGAGCGCGATTTACCGTTCAAAATTTTGTACGATGCAAATGCCGGATATACACAGCCCACTAAAAGCGAGCTGAGACGTACAATGCCTTCGTTGATCATCTTTTAATGTTCAACTTGTGGTGTTATTGACTGAATTGTAATTCGCGGTGGGAATTTTATTAAACCGAAATTTTCGAAATTTTGCAGTGCCGGTATCAGAATCTCGGTGTGTTTTTATACTTTTTGTAAATATGTAGCTCCTTTCCAACCGAGCCTTTGACTGTTACTGCTTAAATATTCGAATACCTTATCTATGTAAGTATATTTGAACATTTGAATCAACAGTCACGGCCTACTGTTTCAGTGCTGACAAATTTCACAGAATCTTAGCTGAGCCGATAGGCTTTGACTGTCGTTGCAAGTTGCGCATCAAGCTACCATCTCTAATGTAAATGGTGCTACAATATTTTGAAAATGGACGCGAGCAATACTGGGAACCATAATAAGGAGCTCTTTCCTAACTGCAACGTAGCTTTTAGCGACGATTCTAACGCATCAGATATAGATATCGATGAAATTGTAGCCAGTATAACTACTTCTCAAAGGTTCGATTTTAATTCAACGAAAAGCCTATTCAACATTGCGCTCGATGGCTGTAAGTTCAACACGCTATTACAGTTTGTTATTTCATTAAATCCATAAATCTTATTTTCAGTTCGGGAAAAATCGAACGAAGAAATTGATAGGTAAGTGGACAGGGTGTTGTATGAAGCTTCTTTTTAAAAATATATCTTCTCAGATATAAGGAATCGGCGCAAAAGGTGGAGAAAGAATGGATAGACTTTATAATTGGTTGTATAGATGTTTTTAAAGAGACAATAGCGAAGCATGCTACGCCTTTCCAGTGCGAACCTAGCAAAGATCAGCAGGCTTACCTAGACCAAATGCCCGATCTTCAAAACTTTCTACGAAATTCCGTTGCATTTGTAAAAGATGCAACAACTTTTTTGGAGAAGGATCATGCTGAAATGTCAGAACTGCAGTTATCATTAATGGACGCATGCCAACATATTCTGAATTCCGAAAGCAGGATTCGCCTAAATGAAAATTTGGCAGCCTCTGATTGTACTGAACGCCATTAGGTTTTTAAAATGTGAACAAATAAAAGTTGAAACAAGTAAATAGTAAATTTTTTTGATTTGGGCAACTAACTGATGTGAGCAAGCATTGGCTCCGGACATTAACTTATGCTATGCTTACATATAAAGTATGTATGTATGTTAAAATAATTTGTATTAGCTACTCTTTCGCCCAAGTGGCCAAGTATTTCATCAGATCAGTAAGGCTGTCAAAATCGGTGCGGCTTTGGGGTTGCTCCTCTTTGGTAATACGCGGCAGTGAGTTGCCCATTTTCATTCGAAACTCTTCAAACTGTGGAGAGAGAATCTTGGCATTAGTGGCTAAGCCAAAACACTTAACGCAAGTGAAAACTTACATCTTTGGCCCCACTAAGTTTCCAAAAACCATAGCAAAATGCACCAGTACCCAGGACAGCATAAAGTGTCCCCCATCCGAGGGCGCGCATGGCTAGCGTGGCGCCCTCATCCATCAGAATAAGACCTTGTCGTGTTCCTTGTTGTTGCAACACTTTGTTGTCTGACTTTTTGGCCTTGCCAAGCGTTTGTGAAAATCCAATGAGCGCAGATATGCCGCCAACCAGACCCAGAAAGGCAGCGCCTATATGCAATGAATACATTAGTTCATAATATACATACATACATACCCATTGCTGATTGCATACAAACTTACCTTGCACGCGGAACTTGCGTTTCTTTTCTGCAGCCACGGCGTCCATATTGGTGCTGGCTTCGTTCATTATTTAAATAAGATCGTTTGTATTTCTTAATTATTATTCAACAAAACGACCTTCGAGCAATATCACAGCTGTTAAAGAGACGGCCGTTTACCGACTGATGTTGCTCAACACTGGAATGCAACGTTGCGTACGATTGTGGTTCACGGTTGCAATTGCGATTTTGCATTTGTCAGTGCGTTTTTTTGGTCGGCGCGTCTACTCGCGTCTTGTCTTAAAAACGCGGAATTGTAGGCCTAAAAGTGTTAAACTACCCACGCTTGCTTGTAAACACACTAAAATGCACTTTAATAAAACAATTGCGGAATTTTGAGTGTTTTTGTGCATAAGCACGTGTGTAAAAGTCGTTTGTCTTGCCCCTTTGCGCCCCAAGTACATTGTGCCTTTGTCTTCGCTCTCACTCGTGCAAATTCGGCTGTGGAAAAGTGTGACGACAGCGAATACGGCACAGACGGCGGCAAGTTGCAATTAGCAACTGAGTGCAGGCCACTTGAATTCTTTAGTGCAACTGCATTTCTGTTGTGATCATAATGAGTACCACAACTGATTCCAAGGCGCCGTTGCGGCAAGTGAAGCGCGTACAGTTTGGTATTTTATCACCTGATGAAATCGTGAGTATTGCTGCGTTATTCCCCCCGTGGGTTTTGCCTGCTTGTTAAGGCCGCCATTTTGAAAATTTGCAACGCCAAATAAACAATAACAATCATACATACACTAATTGGCATAGGTAACTTGGTATGAGATGCTTTAATGTTTTGCATGTATTTTTTCTCATTCCCATAGCGACGGATGTCTGTCACCGATGGCGGTGTACAGTTTGCTGAGACGATGGAGGGTGGCAGACCCAAGTTGGGCGGTCTTATGGATCCGCGACAGGGTGTCATTGACCGCACATCTCGCTGTCAAACGTGTGCCGGCAACATGACCGAGTGCCCCGGACATTTTGGCCACATTGATTTAGCTAAGCCCGTCTTTCACATTGGTTTCATAACGAAAACTATCAAAATATTGCGATGCGTGTGCTTCTATTGCTCTAAAATGCTTGTCTCACCGCACAATCCGAAGATTAAGGAGATTGTCATGAAATCCAAAGGCCAGCCCCGCAAGCGTCTCGCCTACGTCTACGACCTGTGCAAGGGCAAGACGGTTTGCGAAGGCGGCGAAGACATGGATTTGACAAAAGACAACCAACAGGTGGATCCAAACAAGAAGCCTGGTCATGGTGGCTGTGGTCATTATCAGCCCTCTATACGCAGAACTGGACTGGATTTAACAGCTGAATGGAAGCATGTCAATGAAGATTCGCAGGAGAAGAAGATTATGGTATCGGCAGAGCGTGTGTGGGAGATTCTGAAACACATCACTGACGAGGAGTGTTTCATTTTGGGTATGGATCCTAAGTATGCTCGTCCCGATTGGATGATTGTTACTGTTTTGCCGGTGCCACCATTAGCTGTACGTCCTGCTGTGGTCATGTTTGGTGCTGCCAAGAACCAGGACGATTTGACGCATAAGCTTGCGGATATAATTAAGGCTAATAATGAGCTGCGCAAGAACGAAGCGAGCGGTGCCGCTGCTCACGTCATCCAGGAAAACATAAAAATGTTACAATTTCACGTTGCCACATTGGTGGACAATGACATGCCAGGCATGCCGCGTGCCATGCAGAAATCTGGAAAGCCCCTGAAAGCCATCAAGGCACGCTTGAAGGGCAAGGAAGGTCGTATTCGTGGAAACTTGATGGGAAAACGTGTGGACTTCTCAGCACGTACTGTCATCACACCCGATCCCAATTTGCGCATTGATCAGGTCGGCGTACCACGTTCCATTGCCCAAAATCTAACTTTCCCCGAGCTGGTTACACCCTTTAACATCGATCGAATGCAGGAACTGGTGCGTCGTGGCAACTCACAGTATCCGGGTGCCAAATATATTGTGCGAGACAATGGGGAGCGAATCGATTTGCGGTTTCATCCCAAATCATCCGATCTGCATTTGCAATGCGGCTACAAAGTTGAGCGTCATTTGCGTGATGACGATTTGGTAATTTTCAATCGCCAACCGACTCTACACAAAATGAGTATGATGGGGCATCGTGTGAAAGTGCTGCCATGGTCCACATTCCGCATGAATCTATCCTGTACATCGCCATACAATGCCGATTTCGATGGAGACGAGATGAATTTGCACGTGCCGCAGTCAATGGAGACGCGCGCAGAGGTGGAGAACATTCATATAACGCCCAGACAGATCATTACGCCTCAGGCAAACAAACCCGTCATGGGTATTGTGCAGGACACACTGACTGCGGTGCGTAAGATGACAAAACGCGATGTCTTTATAACGCGGGAACAGATGATGAATCTTCTAATGTTTTTGCCCACATGGGATGGCAAAATGCCGCAGCCGTGCATCTTGAAGCCGCGTCCATTATGGACAGGCAAACAGATCTTTTCGCTTATCATTCCCGGCAATGTAAACATGATTCGCACTCATTCTACCCATCCCGATGAAGAAGACGACGGACCCTACAAGTGGATCTCGCCTGGTGACACCAAGGTCATGGTCGAGCATGGTGATCTGATAATGGGCATTCTTTGTAAGAAGACCCTGGGCACATCGGCAGGATCTCTACTGCATATTTGTTTCCTCGAACTGGGTCATGATATTGCTGGTCGTTTCTATGGCAACATTCAAACCGTGATCAACAACTGGCTGCTCCTTGAGGGTCACAGCATAGGTATCGGTGATACTATTGCCGATCCGCAGACATATAATGAAATTCAGATGGCCATCAAGAAGGCCAAAGATGATGTCATAAACGTTATACAGAAGGCGCACAACATGGAGCTGGAACCGACGCCAGGTAACACATTGCGTCAGACTTTCGAGAACAAAGTGAATCGTATTCTAAACGATGCTCGTGACAAGACTGGTGGCTCAGCCAAAAAGTCCCTCACGGAATACAACAATTTAAAGGCTATGGTGGTGTCGGGATCTAAAGGTTCCAATATTAATATTTCACAAGTAAGTGGGCTTGGTAGAAAGGTGTAGGCATTCTTTATCATACTAATTTCTTATTATATCCACCCAGGTTATTGCTTGTGTGGGGCAGCAGAACGTTGAGGGCAAACGTATTCCCTATGGTTTTCGCAAGCGTACATTGCCGCACTTCATCAAAGACGATTATGGTCCCGAGTCGCGTGGGTTTGTTGAGAACTCCTATCTGGCCGGTCTGACACCTTCAGAGTTCTACTTCCATGCCATGGGTGGCCGTGAAGGTCTGATCGATACTGCTGTCAAAACTGCAGAAACAGGTTACATTCAGCGTCGTTTGATAAAGGCTATGGAGTCTGTTATGGTCAACTATGATGGCACCGTGCGTAATTCTGTGGGCCAGCTGATTCAGTTGCGTTATGGCGAGGATGGTCTCTGCGGTGAGCTGGTCGAATTCCAGACCATGCCGACAGTGAAGCTATCAAACAAGTCGTTTGAGAAACGCTTTAAATTTGACTGGTCAAATGAGCGCTATATGCGCAAGGTATTCACCGATGATGTGATCAAGGAAATGACCGATAGTAGCGAGGCCATACAAGAGTTGGAAGCAGAATGGGATCGTCTGGTTGCCGATCGCGACAGCTTGCGTCAGATCTTCCCCAATGGCGACTCTAAGGTGGTGTTACCATGTAATCTTCAGCGCATGATCTGGAACGTGCAGAAAATCTTTCACATCAACAAGCGCATGCCCACGGACTTGTCGCCGATGCGCGTTATCAAGGGTGTGCGTGGATTGTTGGAGCGTTGCGTCATTGTAACGGGCAACGATCGAATCTCGAAACAAGCTAATGAGAATGCCACGCTGCTGTTCCAGTGTCTGGTGCGCTCTACACTCTGTACGAAATACGTGTCCGAAGAGTTCCGTCTGTCTACAGAGGCCTTCGAGTGGTTGATTGGTGAAATTGAGACGCGTTTCCAGCAAGCGCAGGCTAACCCTGGAGAAATGGTGGGCGCCTTGGCGGCCCAGAGTTTGGGTGAGCCCGCTACTCAGATGACACTGAACACTTTCCATTTCGCTGGTGTGTCCTCAAAGAACGTGACACTAGGTGTGCCTCGCCTAAAGGAAATTATAAACATATCAAAGAAACCGAAGGCGCCGTCGCTAACAGTATTTCTGACTGGCGGCGCTGCTCGCGATGCTGAAAAGGCCAAGAACGTGCTCTGTCGTCTGGAGCACACGACATTGCGTAAAGTTACGGCTAATACTGCGATTTACTATGATCCCGACCCGCAGCGCACGGTCATATCGGAAGATCAAGAGTTTGTTAATGTCTATTATGAGATGCCTGACTTCGATCCAACACGAATTTCGCCTTGGCTGCTTCGTATTGAGTTAGATCGCAAACGCATGACAGATAAGAAGTTGACAATGGAACAGATCGCAGAGAAGATAAACGTAGGCTTTGGCGAGGATCTTAACTGCATATTCAACGATGACAATGCCGACAAACTGGTGCTACGCATACGCATTATGAATAATGAGGAGAACAAGTTCCAAGACGAGGATGAGGCCGTCGACAAAATGGAAGACGACATGTTCCTGCGTTGTATTGAAGCCAACATGCTCTCGGACATGACGTTACAGGGCATCGAAGCCATTGGCAAGGTGTACATGCATTTGCCCCAGACGGACAGCAAAAAACGCATTGTCATCACAGAGACGGGTGAATTCAAAGCCATTGGCGAGTGGCTTCTGGAAACTGACGGCACGTCTATGATGAAAGTGTTATCAGAACGTGACGTCGATCCCATACGTACCTCGTCTAACGACATTTGTGAGATATTCCAAGTGCTGGGCATTGAGGCTGTGAGAAAGTCTGTGGAGAAGGAAATGAACGCGGTGTTGCAGTTCTATGGCCTATACGTGAACTATCGGCATTTGGCGCTGCTGTGTGACGTAATGACCGCCAAGGGTCATTTGATGGCCATCACACGTCACGGCATTAACAGGCAAGACACTGGCGCACTGATGAGATGCTCCTTCGAGGAAACAGTGGATGTGTTGATGGATGCGGCCGCCCATGCAGAAACCGATCCTATGCGTGGCGTATCCGAGAACATTATTATGGGCCAACTGCCTAAAATGGGCACTGGCTGTTTCGATTTGTTGCTAGACGCTGAGAAGTGTAGATTCGGCATTGAAATACCCAACACTTTGGGCAGCAGTATGTTGGGAGGAACCGCCATGTTTATTGGCGGTGGCTCAACACCGAGCATGACGCCACCAATGACCCCATGGGTAAATTGTCATACACCACGCTATTTCTCGCCACCTGGCCATGGTAACTATTCAATTTGCTTTTAAAGCTAACTGTTTCAAGCATTAACAATTGTCGTTTTCCTTTTTATTTTGCAGTAAGCGCCATGACTCCAGGTGGTCCGAGTTTCTCGCCTTCTGCGGCCTCAGATGCATCTGGCATGTCACCCAGTTGGTCACCGGCACATCCAGGCTCGTCGCCCAGCTCACCGGGTCCTTCTATGTCACCATACTTCCCGGCCTCACCAAGTGTGTCACCATCGTACTCGCCGACCAGTCCAAACTACACGGCTTCATCGCCTGGTGGCGCCTCACCGAACTATTCGCCATCTAGTCCGAATTATTCACCAACGTCGCCACTGTATGCAGCTAGTCCACGCTACGCATCTACCACACCCAATTTCAACCCACAATCGACCGGCTACTCACCATCCTCCTCGGGCTATTCACCTACATCGCCCGTATACTCGCCCACATCGGGTTTCCAATCAAGTCCATCGTTCGCAGGGAGTGGGAGCAACATGTACTCACCTGGAAACGCTTACTCGCCCAGCTCTTCCAACTATTCACCCAATTCGCCTTCCTATTCGCCCACATCACCATCGTATTCGCCATCCAGTCCCTCCTACTCGCCCACATCGCCTTGCTACTCACCCACGTCGCCTTCATACTCACCCACCTCTCCGAATTATACGCCAGTTACACCCTCTTACTCCCCTACTTCTCCAAATTATTCGGCATCGCCGCACTATTCGCCCGCATCGCCAGCCTATTCACAAACGGGTGTCAAGTACTCGCCCACATCACCAACCTATTCACCGCCCTCGCCCTCGTATGATGGATCCCCGGGCTCGCCACAATACACTCCCGGATCACCTCAGTACTCACCGGCTTCACCCAAATATTCACCGACGTCCCCGCTCTATTCGCCCAGTTCACCACAGCATTCACCATCTAATCAGTACAGTCCCACGGGATCAACATACTCGGCAACAAGTCCTCGATACTCGCCCAACATGTCTATCTACTCGCCGAGCAGCACCAAATATTCGCCAACGTCGCCCACGTACACGCCCACGGCTCGCAACTACTCTCCCACATCGCCGATGTACTCACCAACTGCACCATCCCACTATAGCCCGACAAGCCCGGCCTACTCGCCCAGTAGTCCAACGTTTGAGGAGAGCGATGACTAAGCGATAATATAAGAGCTGCGAATATCTAGTTTATTTTGTATACCAGCAACACATAAAAATACACAATAGTGTATACCCAATTAGAGTTTTGTTTTCTTAATGCCACAGTTTAGAATATTTTGGATAGTAAAAATTCCGGAGACAATCTATGGAAGATCTTTCCTACTCCCTCGTCCGCAATATTTATCGGTTTATTTATAATTGTAGTTCGATTTTTAATACCCTGTACCCAAAGGGTAAAAGGGTATACTAGTTTTGTGCGAATGTATGTAACACACAGAAGGAGGCGTGGCAGACACCACAAAGTATATAATTGATCAGTATGAGAAGACACGTAGATAAACCCATGTCCGTCTGTCTGTCTGTATGAATGCAAGGATCTCAGAAAGTAAAAGAGCTAGAATAACCAAACTTGGTATTCAGGTTCTCCTGAGCCCTAAGCGGATCAAGTTTGTTTATTTTTTCTGATACACCCCCCCACTCACCCGCAATTCGTGTTTTTTCCATAACTAACGTAATTTTTGGAATTTTATACTCAGATTCGGCAAATACTTCCAGTTAGTGATTAATTATGAAGAAACTTATAGCCATAAATATATTCTCTGACGAAGTTCTGCCCGCAGCTGTTGTTGTTGCTGATTTGGTTCAATTTTGTGCTGCATACATACACGCATAGACATGATTATGTAAAAGTATGCTGTTGAAACTGAATATAAACATGTCTTCACTTTCGTATGTATTGAATGTTTTTTATTTATTTTAATTAATTAAATTTTTTTTTAATTTTCCTGTTTTCCTGAGAGTACAGGGTATTTTACTGTTGGGCTTGCTCGACTGTAGCATTCTCTTTTGTTTTTTTTTTTAAATATTGAGAAATTTGATCAGGACACCTACATTTTATACACGGTACACGTAAAAGGTTTCGCGAAAACCATATTTTTTGTAACTACGCTATTGTAATAAATAAGCGTATCTTAAACTATATTCAATAAAAAGATTTGTTGGAAAACCCGCAAATATGTCGATTAATTACTGAATGCAAAAGGGTTACTTAAATCTGTTTATGAATATTTTTACTTGTAATATTTTACTTGTAAAAAAAGCTAACCGCAATAAAATGTGGAACGATATTTTTACTTGTTTAGAGGTTAAAAAAGCTAACCAGTACACAACACAGCAAAAAAATGTGGAACGCTTCACGATTTTGCGTGTCATCCTTGCGCAGGGGCCATGCTAATCTTCTCTGTATCGTTCCAATTTTAGTATATGTTCTGCCGAAGCAAGAACAAGTTGAGGTCTTCATATATTGTATTTATGTGTGCTATTCGATGAAAAACAACTTGGGAATTCTAAGATATTTAATGGCAAATGTGCCATCTAGCGGTGGTAAAATTTCCTGCTTGCGTAATTAAGGAAATGTAGTCAATTTTATTATTGTTATATTTTTGAATATCATAAGAACAGACAACATTCCAGCTAAAAATGTGTATAGCTTTTATTTTACATCCTAATTTGCTTCCTTCTAAAATAATTGATAACTTAATTGATTGCCGGTAAAATGTATTGAGTTGCCAAAAGTGTAAGGTGCCGCCATCTAGCGACGCAAGATTGGCCAATGTGTTATTTTTGTTGCCGATTTGCTTATAATTCTCAAGTGGGTTTATGACGTATGGATGGATGTACGATTTGGTCAAAAGTGAGCAAATGGGGCATACAACTTGCTGAGGGTTTTCTCATTCTCGGTTCAGGGAAAAATATGTCAAACGCAGCATTTAGACGTCTGGGTGATCTGAGCTATATCTCTTATTTTGATTTGGCGGTCGGCCATGACTATTTAAACGCTAATATACTGCCAAATTGTCGTGTTTTATAAAAATGTTGGGTAGCTTGTTTTATCAATGGGCTTTATGGGCACTACATACTATCTTCTCATTAATAGCAACCCCAATCTTTAGGCGTTCTTCAATAAAACAGAAAAATTGAATTTAAATTTAATAAAAAAAACCATTTATTTTTGCCATAATTGATGAAATCATTTGAGTGCACTTACTACATGGTAACCAATACGCATTAGGATTCACTTGTTTTGTTTTGTGTGTTCTGTTTGTACATACTTATACACTCGTTTTCATGTACGGAGTTCTAGGGGGATGTAGTTTTTAAATATTTAGACTTGAGCAAACATACTTGTACATACATTTATTAAGTACTTTCTTTAGATATTCAGCTATGAGTAAAAACACTTAACTAACATTCAGGGCCTTCAGGGATAGTACTAAATTGTCATTACCTGGGGGAGGAAATGTTTGCCACTATTTAAACTACTTATATGTCGTGCCCTGTTGATGAGGGGCTTAATGCTAATAGTTGCTTAACTTATGTGGTTAAAATAAAAAACCAACAAAAAAAAATTGAATAAATATTAGATTGGTACATACATACATACATGTATATTAAGGTCTAGACGTAGGGACGCCAAGTATTATGTATACTATATAGCTATGCCTACAGTCGTATTGTTGCCTTAGGTGGTTACTATATATTAATATTAGAGACAAGTTACGGTAGTAAGTGTGACTAGTATTGATTTAGAATTGGCTTACGGGTACTACGATTGTTGGGTTTGTGGCAATCAGTATCAATTGCTGACTGCAGTTGAACCTGAACCACTGGTATTGCTACTGGTATGGAATTAGCCTGCGCTGGGGCCTCTGTCTGCTCCTGGGCCGCCATTGGCTGTTGGAGTTTGAGCGGTCAAGCGACAATGTCGCTGCCCGGATTATAGCCAAAATAGTTCAGATTAAACTCATCGCTGAAGAGGACCTCTTCCTCGGAGGGCTCCACCTGATGCGACATTTGTATGCCCAGCTCCATAGGATCGATTTCGGTGATATAATATTGGGAATGGGTGAGTCCTGTGCCGAGGACGCCGCCGCCGCCGCCGCCGCCACCGCTGCCATTGCTGCTGCTGTGATGCTGCCGCAAGCCGCTCTCGGTGACTACAACATCCTTGTGTATGGGATTTAGATAGTCTTCTGAAAGAAAGGTTGCACTTGTAGCTAACTGTCTATTTTATAACTGGGAAGGGCATATAAAACAAATATTCCTTCAATATTTGTTTGCACAATTAATTGACAGAACATGAGCTCCCTGTCGCATCACTTACCATTATCGAGCAGCACATCATGATAGGTGCTGATAATGGAGTTGACCGATTGAACCTCGACTTCACGATGTATGCCATTGAGTATTTGGCCCGCAGTCTTGCGCAGCTCCTCGTCGCTGAGTAGGTCGTTGAAGGGCAACAGTCTTTGATGGTGATGCGTGTGCGATTGCGGGTGGGGGTGTGTAGCAGGCGTTGTTGCTACTGTTGTTTCAGCGTGAGTCTGGTTGTGGCAGCTGTGGGGAGTCATCGGATCATTGGAGGCATTGCTACCATGCTGTAGCATCTCCTGGGTGATTGCAGCCGCAGCAACGGCCGCTTCATCGTAGAGGCATTGGTCCGGACGCTGATGTGACTGTGGCGATGGCTGGTGGTGCAGATGTTGGTGCTGATGGGCCCGTTGCTGATGTTGGCAAGTCTGTTGCGGCGAGCTGCAGCATTGCTGTTGTTGTTGCTGCAGCTGCTGTTGCTGTTGAATGTGCTGCTGATGTTGCTGAATGCGTTCCCGATTGATTGACTCCATTTTGAAAAACAAATCCAGACGTTGCTTTTTCTACAGACACGCATAGGGATGCACAGTTATCAGGAATATTTACATATAATAAGTAGCATATAGGAATAGGCATCACTTACATGCTCCCACGCCAGCACATTCTCCGCCGAATCGCCACTAGATATGGCCCACAAATGACCTGCGCCTTGTGGCGCTTTGACACCTTTGCGAAAGTGCGGATTGATAGAGAGATTGTGCCTCACCGAATTCTTCCAGCGATCGTCGTTCGACTTATAGTAGGGAAAGCGATCACTGTGGTGCGAGAGTGAAAAAAGGTTCAGAGTGAGTCTCGAGTGGAGAACAATCTTATTTTCATATTATTATAACAATCCTTTTAGTCGGCGATTATTTAGCAAACGGATTTTCTGTAGTCGAACCGATTTCATTACATTAAATTACAGTACCTTAAATTTGTATTAAATAAAATAGACTTCCTCACCTCCTTCGTCACCGACTAAACCAGTAAATCAATTAATTTGCAAAGACGAAGAGGCAGTCATTTAACTCTTAAGTAGTATATTCTCCCAAATAGCCGTAGATTAGAAAGAATCGAGCTTCTCTGCCTCGTCACAGCATTTTATGTAAATGTTCTGCTTAGTGCTTGTTTCTTTGTTTATTTATGCCAGTTAAATATATCTGCTTATAAGTACTACTATAATAAATCCTAGTTAATATATACATTGGTTGTTACTCTCTAGAAATTATTTAAAGCAATCTATATTTCGTTTCTTCGATGCTCTGGTAAACTGGTTGATGTTATCATGATTCAGACATATTTATATGAAGAACAAACTCATTCCTGATCATCGTCACTGCATTTGAAGCAAGCAACAGAATGAGAGAATGATTCCCTACAAATACTATGCTTGATTATCATCACCACTGATGACTGGAATCTCAGAAAATGGTGAGAAAATGAGAAAAAAGCGTGCTGGTCAATTAACCACCATATAAATATCTCTGCCATGTTTCCTAACCCAAATAGTCAGATTAGAACTAATAAAATATATACCCTAAGCCCGCAGAGGTTCAAGTAAATGCCAAACTACTACTATATATACTTAGAACACATACTCGTATGCTGATGAGAGCGGGAGGGCTAGCGCTATTGGTCACGTCAGTTGGTTCGTGCCGATTGGCTGCCTGATGGCTGGTGGCTGATGGCTGGTGGTCACCTACCCTCAGACCCAAAAGGCACTCAGACCATTAAAACTTTTTTGACCATTTGCAATTAAAGTTTCAACATGCGCACGCCAACCAAACGAAGGGGCCAATTTTCATGGAACACGTCATGGTACGGCACTGCGGCAGACCAACACGCATATATCCATATACCAGTGCTTATATATTTATATGTATGTGTATGTGTATGTCTGTGAATGTGTGTGTGTAGAGACAGAGCATGGGCACAAATTATGCGTCGTTTTGTAGGCAGTCACGAACAGGCGATTTGGGCATACGAATACAAAGTGGAAAAAAAAAAAATGGAGTAGCATGCAGGCCAGGCCGAGCTAAATGTAAAAGGAAACAACGACGACCGGAAAGGACATCGCGTGCCTAGCGCGCTCCCACTCTGCACGACCGTTGGGTGGTTCGGGTGCCTCGGGCTCTGTGCAGGAACAAAATGGAAAGTATTTCAAATTACAGCACACACACACACACACACACACACACACACACACACACACACACACACACACACACACACACACACACACACACACACACACACACACACACACACACACACACACACACACACACACACACAATCCGTTCTTGGGCTGCGCCACACGCGCTTGGTCCGAATAAAACAACCCTCCTAGAACACAGAGAGCCACCCACGCCACCAGCAGTAGAACCACCACCACCACCACCATCACCAGCACCACCACTTCCAACACCAGCACTAAAGTTGCTAGCATTGCCGTCAGTAGCGGCGCTATGTCATTGGTTAACTCCCACCCTTCTCCATGAGCTCTGCACCACCCTCCTTTAGGGCCCACATCCCACGGCCCACGGCCCACGTCGAGCTAAACAGCAATCCAAAAATTGTGTATTTCAGCACGCGACGGCCACGGCTCAAGGCGCTTAACTGTGGGCCTCATTGGGTTTTCCTCTTTTTGGAAAAAAATGACGACTTATAAATGAAATGAAATGTATAAGTCCCCCCCGACTATGGGTGGGGATGGTCGATGGTGGATGGTTGAGAAGCTTTCTGGATTCCATGCTTGATTGGCGCTTGTCTGTCTTGAAAGGCTGTAATGCCGCACACGCATCTGTGGCAGGCTTTTAATGACCCTTCCGTTATGTTCTGATAACTGCCTTTACATACATACTTGTACAAATGTATATCACGCATCCAAAATTAACGGGGGTATAAATTTATGTACTACTCCTACGTCCCAATACATATACGAATTTGTATGAGAATTCGCCACTTGAATCTATCAATGTGTTGGAGACTTTTTTTGGAATCACAAATGTGTGTGTAGTCCAGGATTGAAATTGTTTTTGTTTTCCTATTAAGTTTATTCCTTCAAATGATTATAGGTCATCTAAGATTAATTAATAACTTGTTACTTATCGCCAATATTGGCGATTGGATGGTTAATTGACATATTCAAACTCTAATGAAACATATACTACACATACATTATTATGGCATGCTTGAGAAAACACCTAAAGGTTTTTTCAGATGCCGTGGCAATTTCTACATACTCGTATAAATATATTATAAACATGAAAATGCAATTCAAAAGCTTAGTTATATTGTCTGAGGATCAGAGAATGGAGAGTTCCTAAGAATACTACCACCTTTATTTATCACTTTTTATAACCTTTGCCTAAATGCTAGTATCATTATCGTGAGTTCCAAAATCATATGAGCATTGTATGGTTATTTAAGATATTTCATCCGATGTGCTTTGTCTTCAGTTGCTTTTGAAATCACTTTTTAGAAAACATAGCTGTTCCAGATGGCTTAATTTTCCGAAATATTGAAAAGCACAGCATCAACAGAAATAACGTTTATGACTATAACATTCGTTAAACAAGTATTGTGCTCTGATTATAATACTTTTTACTCTCAAATGAGCTTCTCCTCCCCGTACTAAAATCTTCTGTGAGTAGGGGCTTAGTTTGCCGGACAGACTAATAAACCTTCCCCCACCGGGTCAGTTCTTCTCCACCTTTTATTATTTAAGTAAATATTGGGTCTTCCATTTCTTTTTTGTTAGGTCTCATAACGTCTATGAAACTAGTCAGACTTAAATCGCTGCTATGCATCGGTGCTTATTAGATATTATTACATATTTTTGTAATTCCTCTAGGCTTTTTTATTTCTTTAGTTTATTGTTTTTTTTTAAATATTTTTATTGTTGTTTTTTATTTTTTACATCGACAGCTTTGTTTGTCGATGAAATAAATGAATAAAATTAAATAAACAAGAAAGGAATGCTAAAGTCGAGCAGGCTCAACTCTTAAATACCCTGTACCACCCCACAAAAAAATAAATAAATAAAATTTAATTAATTAAATTAAATTAATTTAATTAATTAACTAACTTAAATCTAAAATATTTCATATATGCATACATACATTTACATTTACATCAGAATCGTGTCTATGCGTGTTTGTGAACTTGTACATACATACAAGTATGTATGTATGTGTGCATTGGACCTGGTTATATGGCTATAACTTTCTTTCTGATCAACCTATCATAATGAAACTTGGATATATAATCACTAACTGGATGTGTCTACCAAATTTTAGTTTAAAATTCCAAGAATTACGGGAGTTATAGAAAATCTTGAATAGGGTGGGAGTGGGGGGGGGGGTGCATCGGGAAAAATGAACAAACTCGTCCTTTCTCGGGCTCAGGAGAATCTAGATACCAAGTTTAGTTATTCTAGCTCTTATACTTTCTGAGACGGACAGACAGACAGACGGACAGACAGACAGACGGACAGACAGACGGACATGGCTATATCGACTCGGCTTGTCATGCTGATCAAGAATATATATACTTTGTGGGGTCTGCCACGCCTCCTTCTGTGTGTTACATGTACACTCGCACAAAACTAATATACCCTTGTACCCTTTGGGTGCTGTACCCATCTTATCTTTCGGCTTACTATTTCATTTGTTTCTTTTTAAAAATAGTCGCTCCATCAACTGATTTAGATTTGTACTAGATTTGTCCATTCTGAATAAAAATTATGGATTAATATGGACATATAGAAATACTTGTATGAAAACTCACGAAACTTCAAAAATCTTTCGTCAATCATGAAAAGCGGCCAAAAATTAGATAACAAAGCATTAATTTAAAATACGAGAGACGTCCGTAATCAGAGCTGTTTGCATAGGTTTGACCAATGATTGCTATAAGGGTCAATAGAGGTACAAAACTAGGAAGCCCCATATTTGTATTTCCTTTAATCCATCGCATAACATAGGAGATTCATTTTCGAAGCTGTTAATTATTGCCATGTCTTCAAATGCTTCGCGCCAGATTAGAGACTACAATTTCATGACACAAAGCAAGACAACAAATACCTTGTGCTCTACCTCCTTTCAGTCCTTCAAATCCTTAATGCACTTGTAAATTTATATAGTTTATGGCGCTGCATGCCAAGCATAGTTTAATCATAAATTTTTCCAACGGACCTGCCAAGGCAATCGATAGGCTTACATTTACATATGTATGTATGTATGTTTGTGTATAAGAGTATGTGGTGTGTCTGTCTGGTTGTCTGTCGCACTTGTCGAATTGTCAACGTTGCTTAAAGCTTCGCATTATAGTCTCTCGGCCCACCCCCGCATGGCGAGGTTTCGGAAAAGTTCGTGAAGAACGTCGAATAAAATCAAATACTCGCTATCAACGTCGTCATCATTGTCAATGAAATTGAGTGACTGACTGACTGAATGACTGGCTGGCTGACTTGCTGGCTGGCTCCTTTCTGCCTCACTCCCTCACCCCCTTCCACACAGTTGACTGGATAGTTGGAATGAACTGTCGAAATACACGGCATGCTCTGGGCTCGACTATACTCTCTTTGGTTCTGATAATGGCCCTAATAATAATAATAATAATAGTAATAACAGATAGTACGTGTACGATACTCGTATATACAAAATATGTATTTGCATTTGATTTGTTAAATCCAAGTTTTAGTTTCAGTTTCGTTTTCACAGGAGAAAAAATCAAAATAAAATAAATGCGAACGGTCCTCGTCATTGCATAA